GCAAGCGGCGGGGAAATGGGAGACCCTCCGCGGATGTGTCACTCGTTCTTGCCAGTATTTTCGGTTCATCTCTGTCTCGTGGTTCACGTAAGCCACTATGGACTACCCTTTGACCCATGGAAGGCGAGGTTCATTTGGCGAAAAATACTGATCCCCTTTTTTCACAGAAAGTTCTTCTAACCTTTTCTTGACAGAAAGTTCTTCTAACTTTCTTTTCTTTTAGTAGAAAGTTCTTTTAACTTTCTTCCCCTTGCTTTTTGAATTTGTCTTAGATTATTTGAGTGCAATCTTTGAATGAGAGGTACCGTGCGGCGTTTAGAATAAGTTAAGCGTATGTGTGTGGGGTCCCATGCATTTAGTATTAAGTTTATGTATGTGTGTGCGTGTGATACAAGTTCTCTGCTGGATTGTGGTAAAGAACTTGTATATGCGAGCCTATGAGCTAAGTAGAGTCAGAACTCATTTATCCTTCAGATAAATGAGGTAGTTGCAATTGGAGGGTGGTAGGGATTTGGAGTTAGGGTGGGTCACTATCGTAGCAACCTCCTCGTGGTGTGACCTGGTAATCGATATCGTTTTCTAAACATTTTTATAAAAATATGAACTTTAGAAAACGATATCGAGCTAATAGCTACAAATTAAATTGTAATTTCATTTGTTCCACATTTTCTTTTACAAAAATGTTTTGATTAAGTAAGTATACAGTGAGGAGCAAAAGTGAACACACATACGATATTTTTACAAAAATGAAATTTTATTCAATGTTTCCATATAGAATAAAAAAAAAAAAAAATACATAATATTAAATACAATGTTTTAGCTTTCCAAAGAAGTTTTACCCGTTATGATGTCATTAATATTTTGATAGATACAAATGTTTTCTGTGTAGTCGGTTTTGCACCGCATCAGAAAATTTGTGGTTGAGAAACCTAAAGATAGCTTTGTAAACAAAGACCAGTGTTGTCTGAAATCGGGAATTCTCTAGTAGTTGCACTGTTGTTGTTCGTGCAGTAACACACATTAACATACTGTCATGAAAACATTATCTAAAACTGTGAAAGATAGTATTATTTCTCTATTAAAATCTGGCTTATCAACGCGAAAAGTTGCCAAAAGGCTTGCAGTCAGTCAAGCTGTGGTACATAAAATAAGAAAACGGAATTGTAGTGAAGTTCCTACATCTTTCGGAGGACGTCCAAAATTATTGTCTTGTCAGGACAAGCGGCGATTAACAAAATACATAACTTCGGAAGTCGCGACGACGGCGTCAATGGCTTCAAAATTGTTAGAAAGCGATGTTGGAAAGAAAATAAGCAAATGGACCGCTCGAAGAGCATTAAAAGAAGCTAATTTTACATCAATGGAGAAGAAGAAGAAACCTGCTCTTTCAAAGAAAAATATTAAAGCTCGTTTGTGTTTTGTCAAAAAGTATATAAATTGGAATGCCGAACAATGGAAGAGCGTAATTTTTTCAGATGAGTCCAAAATAAATCGAATTTTATCGGATGGACGTTCTTGGTGCTGGAAACGGAAAGGTGAACCGCTTTTGCCCCGTCATGTCAAACAGACAATTAAATTTGGCGGTGGTTCACTCATGATATGGGGTTGCATTTCGGCGTATGGTGTAGGTCCATTGTATCGAATTGAGAGCTCGGTAAACCAATACACTTACAAACACATTTTAGAACAAAATTTGTTGGACGTTGTCGATAATATGCCGGTACCAGAATGTGATGTTGTTTTCCAACACGATAACGCCCCTGCACATTCTGCGAAAAGCATAAAAAATTGGCTCGAGGCTCAACAATTTCAAATGATGGTGTGGCCTGCTCAAAGTCCGGACTTAAATCCTATCGAAAATGTCTGGGCATATTTAAAAATGAAGCTAGCAAATGAATACAGTGCTCCCCCAACAACAATAAATGATTTGTGGCAAAGAGTGCAGCATCAGTGGTATTCTATTACTCCAGAATACTGCGAAAATATAATTTCAAGTATGCCTAAACGCATTCATGCCACTATGAAGACCAAAGGCTTGTGGACAAAATATTAAATGTACAAAAATATGAAATGTTTCGTTGAAAATGAATTGTGCAAAACCGACTACACGGAAAACATTTGTATTTATCAAAATATTAATGACATCATAACGGGTAAAACTTTTTTGGAAATCTAAAACATTGTACTTAATACTATGTATTTTTTTTTTTTTTTATTCTATATGGAAACATTGAATAAAATTTCATTTTTGTAAAAATATCGTATGTGTGTTCACTTTTGCTCCTCACTGTATATTACGAGTTCCACACTTTTCCAAATTTAGAAGATTTATAAATCTTATAATAAAATGCAAAACTTTACAAAACTAGATGATGGCAGATAAGATGGACACCGCTGAGTAAACCAGAGGCGACACCTTTGATCTGTCGAAAACGCTGAGCAAAACTACTTTCATGTCAATCTCTAGTTTGGAATATATTTGTAATAATTTTTCTGTACATTACTGATATTGTCTTTTAAGGTATTTTTACTTCAAAGTAATAGTTATTGCTTTTTATGGACCAAAAATCCTGCGCCATCTAGCAGTAAGAGAAGAGAACTCGTATTCAAAATATTGTACCAATAGAAATATTAATTTCACGGATTTGATATAGCTCTCAAAGCATTCTAAAATCAATTCATGTTGTTTTTTGAAGGAATTTGACTCATATAATCTTCTAATAAGCCGAGAAATTAATATTGATTGCATTAATTAAAAAAATGTTACTGATAGTGCCATCTATCCGGCTGACAGAGTGAACTACGTGCACCGGAAACACGAGCTTTGTTAGTTCTTATTTTTTACCACTAAAGGGCACCAGCAGTATTATTCCCAACTATAAAGTACGCGAAAATTTAAATTTTACCGAATGGAACTTCTAAAATACTTGAAGAATATTTTTGAATCAATATAAGCTATTAAAAATAATGTTCTGACTATGTTACGAGTTTATGTAACAAAAACAATAATTGCAGCAATGATTTATACCATATTTCATTTGCTATATAACTGGGTTCATGTTATATTCTTTTATGAAATGTCTTATTCTACTTTAGCAAGAATAAAATAGTAATATCTGGATTGCAAGTATGAATTTAGAGAAAAAATTACATTATCGAAGTTATTGTTAAGTTAATTAAATAACTATAATTTATCTCTATTCAAAATGGAACTAAATTAAATCATCAAAAATTTGTAGGATGAAAGCATATACTTTTTTTAAATTATATATATACACAGATTTCGAATTTTATTGGCAAATTTACAATAAATTGCATTATAAATTTAAGATGTTATTGTAAATTGCAAGTAGCTTAATGTAAAATAATAATCAGCCTTACATGTACAATTAACATCAATTTTTTAAAACTCGCAATGAACTTAACAATTAAATATAATTTGTTACCTTATAATAATTAACAATTGAAGAGATTACTATTATAGTATCAATGGAATACAATAAAACTTAACAATAAAGCGATGGTAGCGTCATCTGAACACGTCTGTTTTCTCAATAAGAAAATGAAATATCGAAAATTTAATGTTAGTCGTATGTATGTTAAATTTCGTCTTGATTATTACAACGAAATGAAAGTTACTTTTAACTCTATTGTAGATACACATAGCTGAACAAGAGTTTGGAACAGCGTTGATTTGATTTTAAATTCTTTATGTTTTGACCTGCATAGCAATGGCGGATTGTATGTTTATCACATATTTCATATTGTCATTAGCGTTTAAACTATGTTTAGGTAGGCACCAAAACTGTTTATATGAATTAAAACTTAACAACTGCTTAGAGATAATAAATCTGTTTGCTTTATATATATAATTTCTTGTTGACTTCGGAGATGTTTGTGGTTATCAGCAAATACACTGATACAAATTCGTAATGATGTATTTAATTTAGTGTTTGTTTAGTTTTTCTTGATTTTTTGATATAACTTGACGTAACACATAATGCATTAAGTCATCGTTTATAGTTTTTTATCAAAGAAGAATGTGTGCAAGCAATATTGTACATGTGTTTTATATGTATACATTGTATTGAAAGCATCACATTACAGTTGTTTGAAGTATTTCCAGTAACTAACAATATTTATTTTTAGGGGAGAAAGAAAAGTTTACTTTGTTAGAACATGATATTTCTCTTGAAAGTGAAGAACCACAGAAATCTGTAGATATTGCAGATTCAAATGATAGTATTGGGGGGCATCAACGTTTTAAATGTCATATTTGTGAGGGACCAGACTGTTTGTATTCAGAAGTCTGCTATAATGCTGTTACTGTAACGTACCCTTTATAAAATAACATACAATAATTGAAATTAAAAACATAAGATAAAATAATATTTTTCTTTTGATAGTGTTGGAAATCTAGAGTAAGACAATCAGATGGAACAGAAAGTTTAAGTAGAGGATGCACTACCTCGGTAGATCAAATGTTATTAATATGTAATAAGCAGTTACCATCAAAAGTCAATCAAAATGTTAGCAGCAGAAAAAGGCACGTGAGTAGTTCTACGGGTGAACTACAATATTATGTTGAATGCTGTCAAACAGACTTTTGTAATGATGGACCATTTCCCATATTAAATAACTTTAATGGGGGTAAGTAGATACAACATTATTTTCCTCTTTACTTGCATATATATTTATTATGAAATAATGACACAATATTTCAGATGTTGAAGAAAATTATGCAATTAAATTGACATTAGCCATTTTGGGTCCAATGGTTGGATTCTGTATTATTACTGGGATACTGTTGTTTTACTTATTGGTATGCAGGACTCGTAGAAAAAGAACTTTGGCTGCAGGACGTAATAAGCTTGTTATAGATTCTGAAATGGAACCATCCATTTTACATTTCTCATTTTCGTCTCCAACATCTACGGCTATGAATCATTCTCATGAGTTAAGAGCAACTGCAGCTGGTGATAGTACATTGAAGGTATGATAAAATAATCATTTGTTGGTATACTGTATTTTATATTATAGACATGAAATAGTATAGAAAGAAAATTATTTCATTTTATACTATTTGTTTATGACTTTCTTCTTGTTTAATTTGAATATTGCATTAAACAGGAATATTTAGATGGAAGAAGTTTAACGAGTGGATCAGGTTCAGGTTTGCCATTATTAGTGCAAAGAACTTTAGCTAAACAAGTAACATTAGTAGAGTGTCTTGGTAGTGGTAGCAATGGTGGATTTGGTGGAGAAGTTTGGAGGGGAATATGGCACGGTGAAAATGTTGCCGTGAAAATCTATTTTTCACGGGACGAAGCTGCTTGGGCTCGCGAAACGGAAGTTTATTCTCAGTTGTTACCATCAAGACATGATAATATTCTTGGGTACGTTGGAAGTGATATGACAAGTAGAGCAAGTTGCACTCAACTCTGGCTAGTCACTCATTATCATCCGATGGGATCGCTTTTCGATTATTTGAATCGATCGAGACATTCTTTGACGCATCATCAAACGTTCAACATCTGTTTGAGTATTGTCAATGGTTTACTGTATTTGCATACAGAAATTCATGGTACTAGAGGAAAACCAGCTATGGCACACCGTAATCTCAAATCTAAAAATATTCTTGTTAAAACTAACGGCAGTTGTGTAATAGCTGATTTTGCGTTAGCAGTAACGCAAGATCGTCTATCCACAGATAGAATTGATTTGAAACAAGGCACGAAACGATACATGAGTCCAGAAATTCTTGAACAAACGTATGTTTTTGACTCTTTCATTATTTTGTAGTAAAATAAATAACTCGAATTACAATTATGTTGAAAACTCGATTTTAAATATTTTCAGTATAAACACGGAGTGCTTGGAGAATTTTAGACGAGCAGATATTTACAGCTTAGGATTGATACTGTGGGAAGTTTGTCGAAGATGTATAAGCAATGGTGTCGGACTAGAATACGTTGCGCCATATTCAGAGTGGCTTTCTAATAACCAAGAACCTTCTTTCGAAGAAATGAGGAAATTAGTGTGTTTGGATCAGCATAGACCACCACTTCCTAATAGATGGCATTCTGATTCAGTAATTGTCTATTTAATAATCATTTTCAGAAACTAATTAACTGTTTTCATAAAATAGATTGTTGTAAAGATCTCTTGGTTACAAAATATGTTCCATTACACGCACTATGCCAACTAATAAATTATTTTTATTTACAGACACTGGCTAGCTTGGGAAAATTAATGAAAGAATGTTGGCATGGGAAAGCTGCAGCGCGTCTACCTATTCTTAGAGTTAAGAAAACACTTATTAAACTAGCAGCTAGTGACATGCGTGTTCATTTATCTCTTGATTAAATGTATGAACCTAACTTGTTGTTTTCACAATGTAGATTACTTTTTTATATATGTACACAGGGTATCCAAAAAGTAGTCTAAGTTGTGAGGACCACAAGTTTTCTACGTTAAAAGAAATCGAAAGGTTCTTTACCGTTTTGCAATGAATATTAAACTGATAATATCAGTGCGTCTTCTGACTCCTATGAAGCTAATCCTAATACTAGTGAAATGTCGGGAATATTTTCCTCTTGGACACGGCTTGACTCGCGAGCCCAATTTAATTATACTTCGATGACAAAGTTGCAACTTATTAAGTGGAAAAGAACTGTTTGATTTCGTTTAGCGTCTAAAATTTATAATTTTCATAGTGTACATTACTTTTACATCTTGTATAAACATCATGTACAAGGTTTTCAGCTTAATTGTCTTCATGATTTTTAACACATTTTTGATAACTTGGAAGAAACATGTTTATATAAAATCCAAGTTATTACAAATGTATTAAAAATACTGCAGAACGTTAATTGAATATTTTGTGGCACGTATTTATTAACACCAAAAAATATGTTCTTCATTTTGTTCTATAAATTTACTATTTTGCGAAAAGTAAAACTAAAAATTATAAAAATAAAATTGTACATTTAAATGCCATGATTCTGCTGAATCTAATTGTAATATGCCATAGTTGAAAGCATAATACTCCTATAGTCTGTATTATGTTCTTGTATAATGTATGAACATTTCCCTTCTACTTAGATAGTTTTAATAATTGCCATCATTTTTGTACTTCATATAAGCACGTGAACTTGCGTATATTTCAGATTTTCGTTCATAATTGAACTTATTACCAATCCCCATTATTAACATTCATTAATATTCTCATTTTCGAAATTGTATAGTATTTTTAAATAACATCGTATTTTATTTGTTAAAACTAATATTTTTAGCTGTTAACGTTATATTATGTACAGTTTTGTAAAATCAGATTAATATTATATTATAAATTTTAACTACATGTATGTGTATATCAATTTTTTTCGCAAAATTTTTATTTCACTTGCTTTAATTTCTAAATTACATTTCTATAAATTATGTTACTATATATACCCATACAATTGTCCTTCTAAATATGCCTTTTGCATGTCTAAGGAATTTCTACGAATCCGTCGTCCGAATGGTTCTAAATCATTATAACATTTATCAAAAACTTTCATTACAGCAGCTCTTGCAACATCCTCTGACACATTTTTTACAGCAAGTACTGATCTCATAGCCTTATCCTGAACACATTTCTAAAAAGTAATACATTTTAACGTTTGTCTTTTAAAATCGTATAGTACATAAAAATGATGTTATTGCATGTAATTATCTTTTACCCGATGTGCTTGTTTAACATCAAAAGGTGAAATGGTTCCTCTGCAAACTGCACCAAGATAACTACAATGACATAAATTAGCTGCTCTTATTTCTGTGCAAGCTAAATGATGTATATTGTTTAAATCCATGTTATACCGACAATAATCAAACATATGAATCAATTCATGACTCAAAGTACTTCGAACTCTGCCTTCAGTATTGGCAGTATTTTGACAAACTATAACCTGAAATAAATAAAAAATTGAATATAAAGTGTATATTAATTTTACGTACAATACTCACTTGGTTTAAAACTGGATCAAATCCTCCAGTTATTTTGTTGCTGCATACTTCACACGAAATGTGACGACTAATATCAATATCACTGTAATTATAATAAATAATTTTTATTATCTTCTGAAATATTACATATTAGTTTTTAGAATTACATACCATCCTGAACTTCTTAATGCTGCTACCATAAGTTTCACTATGGGACCTAAAATGAATAAAATTTTACAATTGTTCAATTAACAAACTTAGCCATTTATAAAATATATAATTTTATTTAAACATTGGATAAAATAAATTTTGAAACCTTACTATTTTTAAAACAGTTATAAACATTTGTTTCACATCTTACTCTTTCATAGTGCTCAAATCTCATAAATTTCTTCAGCCAACTGTCTGATAAATCGTTTCTTCTTCCTGGATAAAGATCGGAGTAATCTACATTATTATAGTCAGTAGGAATTGACTCGTCATTTTTTTCCGTCATAACTGTTATAAAAATTAATTTATATATAACCTATATTTTTTATTCTGAAAAGAGAAGATGCAGGTTATAAAGTGATTCTACTCAACAAGTCAGAAATACAGATCACGTGATATCGACCCTTAAACCATAAAACATTTGAAAAAGACAATGCAGATCATTTGGAATGGACAGTAGGAAGAGTTGAATGCAAATGAAGTAAAATGTTTATCTATTGTTAATAAGTTAACTCATATGTTTATATATTGTTTTTCAGCATATATTTATGTACACAGTCTGTCATTAAAAATACGATAAAAACAAATTAGAGATTAATTAAAAAAATATATTTTTTGTACAAATTACAACAGTGATGGCTATAATATGATGATAATAGCAATTAGCGAAAATGTATTTAATTATATATATATATTACAATTAACTTTCCACTCGATGTTAGATACATTATCATATATTTATACAGACATTAAGTACAAGTATTCGATAATTGGATTGTTTGGAATGTGTAGTTGTTATTAACTGTAGAGACTCATCCACAAGTGAAAACAACAAGCATTCACAAACCCTTCAATTAAATTATAAATATCTTCGATGCAACACATAGAATTAATTACTTCTTCCGATTTACAATAAACTGCATACAAGTCCTGAAAACAGAGAGAAAATTATGAACTATATTAATACAAAATTTGATATATTATTACTACCTATTATTATTTATTCTTGTAATGAATAGTAGTAGCAATTACTGAGCATCAATTATTAGTTATTATAATAAAATGATTACAAACCCCTCGTGAAGCATGCAAGTCTATGGTCAGCATCATGAAAACTTTAAAGAAACTTGGATGTAATATAAGTAGATGAGTAACATTTCCATCCGGTGTATTGAATTGCTTATGCTGTTCTTGATATTTGTTTTGCAATACTTTCGATAACGTCTGATACCAAGAAACTGGTTGATTAACAAACGGTCTGAGTCTTGGATCCAAATTCGACAAAGGTTCGACGTGAGCTAATGAGCAAAGTTCAGAAAATTCTGAATAATTCATTGCAGATTTACTTTCCAACAGTTTATTCCATAAAAGATGCGTTCTACATTGAAGTGTCCCACGTTCTATCATATTCATTATGTGCATGTGGGCTGCCTTTGCTTGTGACATTATCGTTTCTTGCATCAGTTGTTCATGAGACGAGTAGTAACCCAAATAATTAATTGATTCTTGTCGTATTTGAATCAAGTGTGGCGATGAAGTATTTATTGATATGCTTGGAGGATTCACGTTTTGTGTCAGTGGAGAATTAGGTACCGGTGGAGGCGTTGGTGCACTTGTACTATTATAACTATTGTTAAAATTAGGACTACATGATTTGGTATCACTTTTTTTATCATTTGACTCCGAACTACCTTCTTGAAAGTTTGAAAAGTTCTCTTTATAAATATCCGTCGTAGATTCAGAATAGGTATTCGCTACAGGCTTCTCTATAGTGTATACCGTGCGAAACTTTCCAAGTTTATTATTTTCCACTTCTCTTTTTGGATACAATTCCCTCTTACTAGTCAACATTAAGTAATACTTCAATGTAATTTCTGATTTGTCCGCTTGCGAAGGTTGTTCCAAATGTGACACGATAAGTGCAACATCAAAGTCATCGGTGTATTTTGTGTCTTGCGTATCACAGTGACTAATTAGTGGAGTGCTTTTTAAATTCACCAAAACGTATTCACTTTCTTGAACATCCTGGTGATCATTTTTCATTACGAATACGTGCATATTGTAAGTCTTTTCATGAGATAATAAATAAGAATAGAGGACGCGACCCGGTATGGTCAAATTACGGATGGTCACTATATCTGAAACGTTAAGAGTCTTTTAAATAGATAACTTGACTAAAGAACGGCAGCTTTGTACTAATATTTATATTTACCGCTGTATATAAGATTTCTCGCGTAATTCGGTGCTTTGCTGTAATATTTATTAAAATCATCAAGGAAATGAATAAGATGATAACCTTGCTGCAATGACCAAGGTCCAGTGCCAGCAATATACGAATGAATGCAACGTAAATGAAAATCGTACGTGAATGAATGTAAATGCATATTGATCTTGATTTTGTCACAAACATCCACAAAACTCAACATAAACTGTAATAAATTTAAGTTTGATTAATATTAGAATAACAATTAACAATGCTACTAAATCACTTACTTGATTAATTAAAGCTGTGCTAGTTTTTGTTTGAAAACGACTACACTCAATAATGTGTAATTTAACAATGAAAAATGGTTGCGATAAATGAATTTCAAATAGTAATACTCCTCCGAGCATTGATTTCTTAAGATAATAGGATTGTTGTTGAACTTGCTTGTCGGAACTGAAATTAATTTATATTACAATATAATTATGGTACTTTATGTAGGTAATGTTTAATAAAATTTTACCTTTTATCTACTGATTCCACTTGGACAGGACTGAAGCCCAATATTTGAAGATATTGTTTGTATTCAGACAACATTAGGCTGCATAATTCTTGATGCCATTTTATAACATCCGACTGATCACTCTGATTTTTTCGTTCTTGTTGCGATAATTGGTGATATACATTGATATTTTGATTTAAAGATGATTGCAATGTTAACGAATGATCCCTTGTCGCGGCAGATTGTAAACGCCACGAAGGTAAAAATAATAATGGTGTATGACAAAAATGTATCAATCGAGAATACTGTTTGAATGTATTTAAAGCAGTAACCGAAACTGGAATATTTGGCGCAGCACTGCGATTTTGCCACATTGCATACAATTTATTTAGATCCTCTGAAAATTTGAATATTTCATAATCTTTTTCTAAAATCTCTAATGACATATTATAATATCAAGAGAAATTAACATACAAAATCAAATTTAATCTTTTACAATATTCACCTTTTCCTTTTTTCTCGCGACTTCGTAAATCTTGCAAATCGTGAACAGCCTTTATAGTTGGATCTGTATTACCATGAAAATGATTATTAGGCTTTACATCGCGCATCATTTGACCGATTATTTCATTCCACGAAAATTGATTGTGTTTCATATTTTGTGTTTTGTTGTTAGCTTTCGTCCAATCTTTTCCATCATTGTGCGACGCGCTTGAAAATTTCGTAAGACTTTCAATATCCACTATTTGATAGTATTGGGAATTCGTTTGATCCCTCGAAGGATGTAGACGGTGATGAAATATTCCTAATTTATGCATTATTACATTTGTCAAGAAATTCGATCTTGAAGAGAGCCATGTTCCCAATGCGGTAGTTTGTTTGATCAACTTTTCAGATTTCTCCTTTGACCAATTATACATATAAATAGTGATCTGCAATAAAGATATTTCATTAACAAAATTGCAAATTAACTTTAAGATTGAATAACAAGTCTTTTATCCATGGCTAATATTTAATGAGAAGAACATTATTATATTATCACTTACATTATTACTTTGGACCTCAGCAAGTAATATTCGTTGTCTTGATACAAAATTAGATTCCAATAACAGAGGATTGAATTTTTGGAGCACCTTTTGATCTATAAAATGATTAAAAACATTTTATTTTTAATTTTTAAATTTACTAAGTTAGGTAATGTTATCTACTGCAAATAGAAAAGACAAACTATTTTTACATTAATAATTTGATAATCCATTGTGACTACGATTTTACCTTTTGGAATAAGTAATTCTGGTTGTACTTTTTTATCGAAAGAAGCTTTCCACTGATAAAAATTTCTAGCAATTAAAATACATTTAGTACAAGTTCCTGGTACGTCTTTGCTAAAATCGCATGGCACGTTCAAAGGTAAATCAACATTTCCTTTATTTTCAGATGAAACATCGTTACTCGTTGATTCTTCGTTCAGAACAAATTTTTCGACGAAGGGTTGTCTGTCTCTCTGAATAAAAGTCCTGCAGGATGTATCCGGTACTTGATTCTGTATCAAGGTTTCCAACTCTTTGATGATCGTCGGTATAGCGTGTCTATGATTGATAATCACTTCGTGTCTTTTCACAGATGGTACTCCAAGCTCTAAAGCGAATTGAAACCATTTTGACAACGTAACGCAATAGACATCGTGTAATTTTCCTTCTTCGCCAGTCTCGAACCGGTCTATCCCGAAATCGTGTGCACTTTTTGGTAAACTTTCCGTCTTCGCCTGACTCTTTTTAGTTTCAGCCGATGTCTCCGGACTGTTTGCTTCAAACGATTCTGTCAAAGGAGTAGACAAGAACTTGTATTCCGTAATTAAATCCCAAATTGCATGTTTAACCGCGGAACGCAATTTTTGTCCCAACGTTTCCAAATTAACCCTGCCCTGTTTCCAAATTTTAAATTCAATCAAGGGCGGCGATTCACCCGAGTCTTTGTCAAAAACTGAAGTAGACACGATATTCTCGAAGTCCTGTCTCGTTGTAGTTTCTGGAAAAGACTCATTTACTTGTTCGTTTTCGACAGACTTTTCAGGATCTCCTGTAATCGACAATGCTATGCAGGCTATTCCTTTGCTGCCACTCGAATGGCTCTGATTATACAAAAATATGTCCGATTCAGAGATCTTTTTCGTCGACTCTTCAAGCTGCGAGTAATCCTGGAAGTGATATTCCGGTCTGTTATCAGTGTACTTTGGTATATACAAGAATTGCAGTATGTTTTGTCGTAAGTAAAACTCCAGAGCAACAACATGCGGTATGCAATATTTCTGTATGCTCAGCTGTATGACAGATTCAGGTGATTTTGGTGGTTGAATAAAATGAACGTCAGCGGGAGTCAACTTGCACATTGGATTTCGTGCCAACATGACGGACAAAACTTCAAGTACCGCGTCATCCAAACGATTCTGTAGGACTTGCACGAGATCCCGTTTCACTTCTGGTCCTGCGTCGGAGATTCCATGTACCATCAGAATAATGGAGTCTTCCGTTTTGTTCAAAACGTTCGACTCTTTCTCGCTGAAAGACCGAACTCTCGGTCTCGTATCGTTTGACGAGATATTCTCGTTCAGTTTGACTTGTGATAATGAGACGACGCTGTTACTTCGCGATACAACGAGCTGCTCGTCGCTCTCCGACAATTTGTTTTGTAAAGACTTCCCGTCGGTTATCTGTTCGTGCAGTCTCAGGTAAAATACGTTCTTGTTGTTCTCTTGGTAGACGAACATGTTGCTTCGATTGCTCACAGCGAATCTGTTAAGCACGCCGTGTAAGGCTTTTATGCCTCGGGAAAGTCCTGATCTTCCAGGACCAGTTTTCAATCGAGGATGCAAGCGGAAAGTAAATTTCCAAACAACGCGACAACGAAACATTCCGGGGGTGAAATTTTGTATCGAACCGCTTTGCATGGCGGTGCTAAACTCATTAGCTGTTTCCGATTTCCAATTATAGTCTTCACTCGAGTCTGTTTCCAACAGTTCCGAACATTTGCTCGTTTTGTGTAGATTTTGGAGAAGCAGATATTGATTTACTCTGCGACAAGTACATTTTATTTGGGAGACCAACATCTTCTGAGTGTGCCAGTAGCTGTTCACTTCTGGTGAGACGATTTCCAAGAATCTGTAAAATTGCAACAGAGATTTTCATTGAATGACCCATTTGCAAATTTAATCTGTAAACACTGTTATCTGGTTAATTTGACCATCAGACTGATTACATAAACACACTAGTCAGCACTTGCCAAGACATTTAATGTTTAAGTTTCCTTTGGTCAATTTGACCAGATAACAGCATTTATCAGTTAACTACACAAACAACTATTTACCTGCAATGGAAATAGATGTTGACATAATCATTTTCAACATTTAAAATTAACCAGAAGTTTGGTAAAGAACTTTCACGATTGTCAAGATCTATCAACCACTGGAACCCATATTTAGAATTACTGTCTTGTTTGCTTCCGTCGTTTGTTCCCGGTATTTCTTTTATCATGTCAGCCATTTCGGGGTAACTCTTTTGAGATTTAAAGTGACTTCTCATATTATTTTCTGTGCAATATTCCTGCAATTTTTCTTGGCCTGCATCTTCCATAGCATTGTCTTGAATATAAAAAATATATTAATTTAAAATCATGTTTATATCATGAAAAAACAAACCTTCAAAGGAAACATACCATTTTTCTTTTTTGATTCTTTTTTATCGCTCTTAGAATTTTCGGTCACTGAGTCGGTTTGTTCCAAATTCTTAACGAAATAAAATAGAGTTCCTTCTTGTCGAATACAATATTTGTCGATTTGAAGTTTCTTCACTTCGCTTATGAATTTTGGTTTACTGTCTTCCGAAGGGAAAACAAAATGCAGAGCTACTTTCTCGACTTTGCAACTAAATCTATCCGTCGATTCTGAAATATGATTTGCAACGAAATTCAAAATCTCCTCGTTTACGTATGGCCGATCCAAAAGCGCGGTTGCAGTTTCATCTTGCAAAAGCCACTCGATCTCATCTTTCAAGTTACTGATAGCGTTGTGTTGGTTCAAAGGAAGATGCGACATTCTTTCTTGGAACGATTCATTTCTAGCATTATTTTCCAAACTGCTTCCACTCTCTGTTCGCAAACTGCCAACCGGAGAGCCGCTGCAGAAAGATGTCGCTCTCAAACCCGAATAACGTTCCAGACTTATCTCTAACACCTCTCTTGGCAGGTTCAAACAAATGATATCCAACGTGATTTTTAAATCGGTCAAATTTAAACCGGCTATATCTCTGTCCTTGTAATCCTCCATCTTCTGTACAATCTCCATGAAACAGGTTGGCAGAGACTTTACAGGTATGCTAGAAAATTCAGACTTGGACTGAAATCGAACTGAACAATTTAATTGCAAGAAAAGAGGTTGTTCGTTTCTGTAAATATTCTTATCCTGGAAATCGCTGTCCAAGGACTCCGCAGAACTATGGCTCGAAATATCTGTTACGTTATGTACGTCTCTGGTTGGCCACGACATATTTCCTGTCACAAATCATATCACATTTATTTATTACATCCTGTTAAAAGCAAAGTAAAAAAGGAAGATGTTAGGCTTCTTAAAAAATGTTAATGCTGTCTTTTACCTACCTGTACTATGAAGACTTTGCGATACGTAATCAGTGTTTATCGAATGAAACGCGATATCTTCCATTTCATCGACGCTTTCTGATCTTCTGAACCTAGCAAGATCCTGTTAATTACAATATTTTAGTTATTAAATTTGTTATTATGTGTATTTTATTATGGAAACTATGGTATATTTTAGTGTGAAAACAAACCGGTTCATTGTCTGACCAATACGGCGAACAGTAGTAGAATTCAGGATGCGCAGGGACGGGTCTAAAGGCAACGGTGATTATTTTTTCAAATTTTTCTTTAATCAAGTCGTGTAAGGGTTTGACATCGTCGCACGCAGAAGACTCCAGCTGATCTAACGAATCATTATCGGATAATCTGCTCAAATGTCTGCACACCGACCGTAGATAATTTGTTATGTTAATTTCGATCAAAGTTTCTTCGCATTGTTCCACTGCAGCTTCCATGTCCTCGTAACTGAGGGACTGTTGCAGTACCAACGATTTGTAAACGGCAACAACGTAACAATGACAATGCGCCAAACTTAGTAATTTACAGTGCTCCATGAGACTTCGTTGATCTATCGTAACAAATGAGATCAATTAACATGACAGTGAGATCCATTATACTGGAATTATAATTGTTATTAGCGAGATAATTATTGTATCAGGAAGAAAGTAAAATCATAATTTACACTGACCACTACAAGTATTTTCCGAGTCCTCGCTTTTTAACTTTGGAATTAGTGGCTTTGGAGTATAATCTGATTTTAATTCAATGAAATCTTTACATTCTTGATGATTTCCTCTGAAGGTGTGATCCTGGTAAATGTCTTTGTTATGCGATATCTTTAATTTATCTATTAACGTGTCGATTAATAATGCTAAGGAGCAATCGTACACGTATACAGGAATGACCAAATTTCCTTCGAAGTCTTCTATATTTCTTTTTTCGTCCATTTTCGATGTTATGTCATCCGCAAATTCGGTCTCTGGTTTGGTGTCGTTCTATTTTTGGAAATAGTGTTATGTTAGTATGAGAGGTCTATTATAGTGTCTACAGGGTTATGCAAATTTGGAAAATTTCGGAATTGGAATGAATTTGCAAGTTTATGGAATTTCAGATTTCTAAATTTGGGAATTTCGACTTTTCTAAATTTCTAAATTCTCAAACTTTTGTATTTTCAAACTCAAATTTAAAGGAATTAAAGAAGTTCTAATTCTTCAAGTACTGAATGTCCAAATTTCCAAATTCCTTAATTTCTAAAAGTTTCAAGTTCTCAAATTTCTAATTTCCAATTCCAAAATCTAAATTCTTAAAACTAGAAACAATCCACGCACCACTAGTTCATAGCATACAGTCAAACGACTCGACTCAAAATTATTACTTACTAAACAATCTTCTGTATACGAGGGTGACATAAATAAGTGAACATCCTTTTCCGACGCGGGTAAAATAGTAATAATTACATGGGTCGTACTAATTCCTTTCACGAAACACTTCCAACGTGGATAGGAATTTAATTCGATATTAGATGAATCTTCTGAAAGTTCTTTTAAATTCAGTATACATATTACCTCTCATTCTAGCTTTAAACCCTCTAGCCACTGAATTAGAATTATACACAAAAATTTCAATTCTCTAACTATTAATTTACATTGCTGTTATATTTGAAAATTTTATGATTTAATTCAATAGCCAGAGGTTGTACATCTCGCATTATTTTTGAAGGAATGGTACCTTTTTGAGAGAAAAATGGTAAAGGTGGACCACCAACACGACGTCTGTTTAGAAGCATTTTTGTGAACCTTTGCGAATCAGCTGACGTTAATAGAAGTTCTTTGTTATGCAACTGTTTCATATGCTCTAGCAAATTGTCCATTAAGATCTTGTTCGCACTTTCTCGTCCTCTGTCCGCCTCGGTTAGACCTGCAAATACACAATAAAATTTTAATAAATGTTATTATACAGGGTGACTCTTTTTAATTTATAAATGCACTTATCTCCTCAAATATTTGTTAGTCTGTTAATTTGAAAAATTGTTGAAATCAAACTTGTTCTGAAATAATTTAACTTGTTTGTAGACAGATATGTAAAGGTCATGTGAAGGTCAACCATTTTGTAATAACAAATATTCGAGTAGATAATTGCATTTATAGATTAAAATACATGTTTTGTATTATATCACGTTTTCAGAGTGAAAATAAAAATACATTTTTACCATTGCCAAACATGGAAAATAACAGTTCTGCTTGCTGGCATTTTGGTAGTATGTTTAGTATGTCGAAAGAGAAATGCATCAAATGTATTTTTTCATCGTTCATCGATAGCCCGTCGTATGACTCTTCGGCACTGGCACCGCCATTATTCTTGCTGTTTCTATTACTTTTTTTATTTAACAATTTACTGTCTTGATAGCTTTGCCCATAAACGATGTCGGCGCTTGGTATTACTTGGCTCAATAAACTCAAGTACTCCAACGTTAATAAAGCATTGATGCATTCTTCATCTACTCGGGCAATCTAAGAACAAAAATTATAACAATTTTTAATAATAATTCAAACTTCCATTATACGCTTTTTATGGATAGAAATTTGGAAAGTTTAGTTTCTGATAATCTTAAGATTTAGGGGGCAAGAATTTGGAAATTTATTCTTCTGAAAATTTTGGGCTTAGATGTTTTTGAATTTGGGGAGTTAGAAATTTGAAAATGGAGATGTTAGAACTTTTGAAATTTAAAAAGTTGAAATTTTGAAAATTGAAAATTTAAAAATTTGAAAACTTGAAAATTGAAAATTTAAAATTTAAAAATTTAAAAATTTTAAAACTTGAAAAATTACAAATTAGAAAATTAGATAATTTAAAAACGAGAGATTAGAAATTTAAAAGACTAAAAATTTGAGATGTTGAAAATTTAAACTACTGAAGTTTTTATACGAAAGGAGGAAGATTACTTTCTATAACATTTTTTGCGTAAAATATAGTTAATATTAAATAGTGCAAATAATTATTAAACGTGTCCTCAAGGTCAAAGATATGTTGCTTCAAAGATTAATAATTATTAGTAACGTTTTCATTTGCTAAAATTTCTTCTTTCCGCTGTTTCGATATAAATGTCGCTACATTGTGTAAATAATAATTTCTCTTTCTCGCGATGGAAAATTTCCAGTTGTCTTAAATCCCAACTTTAGTATCCCATTTTCACAAAATCCGTCATACTGTCATAGAAAAGATTGTCCCTTTAAAATATTGCACTCTCCACGCTCGTCCACGTATCTTAACCACATACATATGTCTTCATATGAACAGGAACTTTAAAGGAAGGATAAAAGAAAATAAACATGAAACAATTAAAAAAAAATCAGTAAAAAATTCTCAAATTTTACTATAATTTAATAAATTTGCACAAAACGAGAATCGCATTATAACACATAAATAAAGCTTTACATAATATAAGGTAGCCATTTATTTTAATGATAAATTCGGTACAAAAATAAAAATTTATTCGAAAAAAAAAAAGAAATGTTAATTTAAACCTGTAACCACAATAATTCATCAAAAAATAATTTCAGTTATTAACAATTAGTGTTAGATGAAATAAAATAAAAATAACAAAATTTAAAAGTTAATAAAAATAATAAATAATATTAATATAATAAATAATAAATAGTGAGGTAATAAATAATAATTAAGTGTGTTGTATTTGCTTAGGTTTAGCAGCTGTGTATTTCATTTTAACTCAGATCCACATATGTCCTAATATATGTGTGTATGTGTATATGTATATGTCTACGTATATGTAATTGTCAAAAGCGCAAACAATTTTCAAAATAATAAATAATCAGTAGATCAAAAAAATAACTAAAAAGTAAAATAATAAATTCATCAATTAATTAAAAAATGGTAACAAGTGGTCATTCAAAGAAACATTAGAAAACATCGTGTAGAAAGTTATAATGTCCGACGAATATCCGTAAAATAAAGTAGAATCAGTCGACAATTATACGCAGTTAAACGTTTCCATTGATAAGAGATCTACTTGAAAAGATATTTATCTCTGTTGCAACACGTATGTACGTCCGCCAAGGTATTAACCAACCGCCAATAGGGGCCGTCCACGAAAGCTTCCCTTATCAACGCAACTGATATAACCCATGGCAGGAAGATGTTACTCCTGATAGGAATCGAAGAGGCCCCGAAGAATATCAGGGACCAGGAGTAAGTTGGAGGAGTTGAATCTCACTTTCATACAAAGCGTAGAGACCACTTCTCCACTTGAACCATAATCCCTTAGGTACGGAACATTCTAACGAAGACGAACTCGCTGAGAAGAGGATGATAATCAGCAAGACCTTGAGCTGGAAGAGTTAGATCTGGCAAGTTATCAGAGCGTTATTGCTCACTGCCTAGATCCTCACTTCCAACTGCAAGTCATGCAGATTACAGGGCACGCAGTCAAGGTAGAGGTAACCTTGCTCGTTGATTCTCCATTGCAATTTTGTTCGAAAGGGAACGATCCTTTTGCGGGGGACAATGGCACGTGAAGAAAGCCGCGCCCAATTAACTCAGGTATCTACAAATAAAAGTAATCTGTGACTGTGATCGATTAGAGTAAATTTTATCGCTAATACATACGTCCCTTCTGATCGTTCCCTATTTTCACTTCTTTAGATACTCGAGGTACTTTAGATATTCGAGGTAAATATCGGTTGCAAATTCGTGAAATATTTACAACACAGTTCTCACAAAAAACCCGAGATACACTAGCTAATCACCGGCACTAGGGACCCGTGTCACTGTGATGGGTTTCACCCGCGTACGAATACTGTTAAGTTGGAACTGGACGATACGGAAGAAGGTTCCTCGGTAAAAAAAAGTAATCGGAACACTAATAAACAGTTGGGCGCGTGTTGGACCTTATATACGCCAGAGCTGACTGATAGAAAAATCTGTTTCTGAGTACCCTCATCGATATCGAAGCCCCACCTCGGCAATGATAACGACACCTAGTGATAGACAACTTTATACACTTATTTTCTTTTTCATTTTTTTTCACGCTGAAAATGTCACGTTGCTACTTTTTCTTCGCTTTGGATAAATCTTACATGAATACCTGTAGGGTACCATTTTGAATATAACCCCTAGATGTTGCTGTTTGCCATTCATAATGACAACGCGATAATTTTGCTTTTGGAGGATATTTTCAAAAATACATCACTTTATTGATAATCAGTTTGCGTTATTAATTTGTAAATATATTATTAAGCTGTTTTAAGGATGTACAATTATTATTAATTAACTTGCTTTATCAAGGTGTAAATATACTATTAACTTGCCTGATCAATGTACAATTAATAATTAATATTTTGCCCGATCAATGTACAATTAATAATTAATATCTTGTCTAATTTATGTACAATTATTATTATTATTTTTCATAATTAATTGTTAACTAAATTATTAACTACATTTGTTATTAACAAAATTGCCCCATATAATTTATTATAAAAATGCAGCTACACCCAATAAAAATAGAAAAATAATGTAACTCTCAGGAAAACAAATTTAAAATCTTTTGAGTGGTTTTTATTTTTTATTTAACACGTTCCGTGCCATGTGTACCACCGGTGGTACACGGTAAACTTGATCGTCAGGCCACGTGTACCACCGGTGGTACACGCAGTCATATTTATTCAATGCGCTGAAAACATATATTTTATTACAAATATAATTCTGTAAACTATATTTCTACCTAAAAAATGAAGCATTATACAAGATGCAGTATAGAACAAAAGAAAAAAAGAATTACTTATGTATTGAGGATGTAATGAAATATTGTGTGATAATATATTAATCTTCAGTTAAAATATCAGATGGCCTGAACGACAAGTCAGGCAAAAATGGCTTGGCACGGAACGTGTTAAAAGTAATTAAAGATGTACTATGTACGAAGAGTTTCGAACTCTTGCAGAGAATGGATTGTTAGCAGCTCGCTAAGGAAATGATATCGTCACCCTGTTTCTTAAGTTGTTACGCATTATGCATATTTGTTTGTAACGGTGTATTGTAAAATAAGATAGCGTTGTATATCAGATGATATAATGATGTCATCTACCACTTGTTGATCTCAGTAGAATTCTTAAATTCGGAAATTTTCAAACGATGAATATTTCAAAATTTGGGAACTGATTTAAAAAATCGATAAATTATATAATTTAAAAATCTCCAATACAAATTTGGTAATTTTCATATTTGATCTCCAGAATTGAACACAGGTGAACCTAATATAAATATTTCTTAAAAATTTGAACGATACTCTCAAAAAAAAATTTGAGTTACATCGTCAAAGCATCTTGAGTTATTTAATTCTATAATTGTAAAGTGCTGCCCAATTAAATAAATGACATAAGGCAGATTTGTATCACAATTTAATGCAGAGAATTATATATCAGTAAATGCACCTTGAAGTTTGGCCTTTTGTAGATCAGTAATCAAGTTCCAGGTAACGAAAACTTAGATAACTTTTATCTTGTATTTGAAGTGTATTTTCTGAGCCACGGGAGGAACGTAGCTTTATTACGAATAAGCTATGAAAGTGGATTATAACGTATTACGGCTTTCTATGCCGTAAGACAGCTATATATTTTAAAGAATCGTTTATCGTGGTCGACCCATTTTACCAAAACGAGCCAATGCCGTATCACAAAAAATAGCCTCGACATTGGCGTAGCTAGGTACAAACCAAAATAGGCCCGATCTCTCAAGACTTATAAATTGGTCACTTTTAAGTATAGAAATAATTGATGATATAGGAAAATAACACATGGTGATTTGATGTTTAATTACATAACACGAGACGATGTAATAATGTTATAATATAGGTGGTCATATAATGCGTAGCTATAATAACGCCTGGTGATCAAGAAATGATGACAATTTAAGGCGTGGTTATATAGAGCAGTGTGACCTAACGATTCACCATTTAACGCGTGATCATTTAACGAATGGTCATATAATGCGTGACTTAAAATATGGCTATACAACACATGGAGATCAAACACACTGCAATTTGATGCATGACTATGTAACGTGGCTATATAACGCGTGGAAATTTAACACGTAGCAATACAACGCGTAGAAATTTAACGCATGGCAATCTAATACATGGCCATATAACGCGTGGAAATTTAACGTGAAGCAATACAACGCGTAGCGACATAACACGTAGGAATTTAACGCGTAGCAATCTAATACGTAATGATTTAACACGTGGAACTATAATGCATGGCGATATAACGCGTGGCGATCTAACACGTGGAAATCTAACGAATTGTAATATAACGCGTGGCGATCTAACACCTGGAAATCTAATACGTAATGATTTAACACGTGGCAATATAACGCGTGACGATCTAACACGCGGAAATCTAACGCATGGCAATATAACGCGTGGCGATCTAACACGTGAAAATCTAACGCATTGCAATATAACGCGTGGCGATCTAACACGCGGAAATCTAACGCATTGCAATATAACGCGTGGCGATCTGACACGTGGAAATCTAACGCATGGCAATATAACGCGTGGCGATCTAACACCTGGAAATCTAACGCATTGCAATATAACGCGTGGCGATCTAACACCTGGAAATCTAACGCGTGGCGATCTAACACGTGGCAATATAACGCGTGGCGATCTAACACGTGAAAATCTAACGCATTATGATTTAACACGTGGCAATATAACGCGTGACGATCTAACACGCGGAAATCTAACGCATGGCAATATAACGCGTGGCGATCTAACACGTGGAAATCTAACGCATGGCAATATAACACGTGGCGATCTAACATATAGCAACACAACCCGTAGAAATTAAACACCTCTGTGTACTAACATATTTTGCAAATAAAATAATAAATTTAATTTTCTTTTTTTTTTTTTTATAAAGAGTTAATAACGTGTTAAATGTGCCTAACCGATAGCATTGCGAAACAGATAGATTATCTAGCATTCCAAACATATCACTAAGTAAATAATGCTACGAAGGCTTTGTATTCACAAATAAAATAAGGAACCGCTTTCCTTCGTAACTTAGTTCCCGATTTTTGTACATGAAGGGTAAAGATCTTTCAACAGATTGATTATAGTTTTCGTTTCATACGTGTTTGATTAAAAAGAACAAAATCCATTAGCGTAACTAGGTGGAAACTAGGGATTTCTAGTCACCTAGGAATGTGGAGATTTCTGGATACATTTCTAAGCTATTTTCTCAAACTCTCAAATTTCTATATTCCTGGATTTTCAAATTTCTAAATTTTCTGCTACTAAAACTTTCACGATTCAAAAATTATTTAGATATATTTAATGTAGTGCGTTGACACTATTAATAAAACTTGCTGATTCCTTTTTAAGAAAATTATTACCAAAATCGCTAAAATGTCTCGTCCAGTAACAAAGAAGTGGGACAGTTGTACTCTGTATTACTTCAAAATATTTCTAAGCAAAGAAACGAATATCCGTTTACAAACGAATTTGTTGTCAACATCGATAAACTGATAACTGATTCCGATTAAGTTTCGAGCAAATACAATAGTTTCTCAAATACCGACATTTTAGAATGAATTACAGTTCGAGATTATTTTGTTGAAATTCGAATTAACGAACGTGAAGTTTATTTAATACCAATTCCAAAATAAAAACAGATGGTAGTAGCAGAATGAAACTGAAAAGTTATTAACGTTTAATCAATCGTGAAATTTTATTCTTTCCATAAAGTATACGTGTCAAGAGCGAAACACGTAAAAACATATCGAACATCGATATCTTATCATTCTAAGAATAATTCAAGAAATAAATATCAGTATATTGATTTCAAAGTTTGATATTAAAAAGCACACGATATTGTGTTAAAGCGATACGTCAGATATAATATTTTACATTTAATATTTAATGCAATAATACGTTTAAAAAAGCTACTATTTTATTGAAAAAGATACAAAATGAGTTAATAAAAAATAATATATAAAATAACTCGTTAATTATTAAGAAAAATTTTAAATGAAATTTTAAATAATAAAAGCATTTTAAAAAATCATTAAATGAATATTTTTTGTCTTATCTTTTTTGAAATATCTGTATGATCTAGAGTGCCTTTGCTCTGGATTTGTATCTCCACAGAAAATGAAATATACTTATTGAAAGATATAGAAAGAATTATTTACACAAGTTTATACTCACCGCATCTGGAAGCTCGTGATATTGCAGCCGATGCATATAAGCTGCCGTAGACTGCGCTGGTAGTTGTGAAAAACCGCATTGAGGTTCGATCCAAATTTCAGAAACAATCTGGAAATCGCCAAAGCCTTCAAAATCGTCCATACTAACTTCGCCATCAGCAGTACCTAAAACATATTAAATCGTATTACTAATTTTATTCGTAGGTCTTTAAAAATTTCGTGTTGAAAAAGCAGGAACCTCCCATCAATTCGGAAATAGATTAAATTTTCAAATTTGCAAAAACCCAAGTTTTTACATTTCCGAATTCTCAAACTTCTAAAAATCAGTAAACGGAGCCCTTTTCCCTACCGCCATTTTCTTTTGGATTACCTACATGTTTAACAGTATACTCAGATAGTTAACAAAAAAAATATACGAATTTCAAAACCCCTTAAAGACTTCTCTCAACACTGGTTCTATTTATATATAATCGACTATAAAGATGAACAACAATATTTTTACCCTCATCCGTATCTTCCTCTGATGCACTGTCGCGTTCTAATACCGTATTGGATGTAACATGCGGAGGAAATAGGATATACTGAATGATACACGGATACAATGCATCGTCTTTACCAACTCCTTGCATTTGTACTTCAAGGACCATGTTCATAATGCCCGCCGCTGAATAAGTAAAATTAAAACCCTCAACTAAACGCATCCTAATACAAACATACGATATGTTATCTTATATTCTAAAGCGTGAAGAAAAAATAATGTATATTTAAAAATCACGAAAGCAAGAGAAAGTAAATATTTACATGAATACAGAAATATTTACTTTGTAATTGTAGATAGAATCCGTGCAATGGCAGTTACGTTCAATCTTGGTAATGTGATCCCGGGGATTGTTTGCACAAATGGTCGTTTCATATGCCAAAGCCATCTATTATGATATAGATATCTAGACAAACTAGTTGTCAAAATTCCTCCCAATATCTGCGTATTCTTCAATGAATTTGTTTGCGTTCCATCAGGAAATACAATGGAGTTTAAGTCAGTCGGCATTCGTTCGTATCTAATCAAAATTCTTTCTAAAGATTTGTGTATAATCGTACAGGAAGGTGTTTCCTTTTGTTCTGTAGGTCTATTTGGTAAAGTAAGCTTTGATAATCTGTCTAGAAGATCGACGACAACGTTATGTCGAACGACTCCTTCTGTTCCGGCTGCGAACGCAATGTTAAGGGTAACGCAAAGAGCTTTGCAGTTAATACGAATTAATGAAAATGAAACAGGTGGCTTATCTGCTTCTCTATAAATGAATTGCACATATGTGTGATTTTCGACGAGAACGAAAGTCGCCCAGTTTTTTAACATGGCATAAAGGACAGCGGCTGCCTGACGACTTTGAACGCATTGAAAACGTCCGCTTTGATTTGCTTGATGTAGATGCTTTGGTAGTGGCCTATCATGTGATAAAATTAATGTTACTCTTTGCGTATGCATCCAACGTGCCCATTGTAAAGGATTTAAAGACACTACAGGCTGCCAGATTTGTCCAAATTGTGGACAGGCTGCATCGCTGAAATGCAAGTAACATAATACTACACTTATTCATTCTAAATAAATATTTTATAGACATACCTAAGTTGGACTGTATTAGGCGAAGGATAAGCTGACAAATAGAAGACCGGCATGCCGCTTCTGATGGTATCCGGTACACTGTACCAAGTCCAACCAAATTCTGGAAACCAGCTGAAGTGTGCAAGCATAGTGTCACTTTCTGTTAAAGACGTCAAAGCTGCCCAGAAACAAGTCACTACACCTTGACGATATTGTGATTTCAACGGTTTTTTGGATAAACATGTTATATCATGTAAAAATTCGTAGGGAGCTACAACCAAATAATATTTTATTACATACACGTTCTTCGTTATTGTTTTAAGTTTCATTTTTACTTACCTTCTATAGTAATTTTATATTGTATAGTATTGGATGCAGATAATGATTTTGTAGACCAAGGACACAATATCACATATTCGAGTAAAACACTCGATTTCCATAATAGTACAAAACAAATTTCAAGCACTTCATCTCTTACATTAGCACGTTTTATTAAGTATCCTTCTCGGAGACGACAACATAACAAGCTGCTCAGTGTGCAAGTAACTTTATCTTCTATTTGTTTTTTTTGTAATAGTTGATCGGACTTTTGTTCATAAAATAGAGAGTTTTTGGAGTGCCAGGTTGAGTAATCTGGTAAACTACTATAAACTACTTCACGATATAATTGCCAACATAAAAAATTTCTTTGATAAATATTCATTTCCATTTCATTTGAATGTATCTGTAAATACAAGCTATTGTACAAGCTGCATTTAAATATTATAATTTTAAAATATACACAGCTGTAACCATTGTTTATTATTTCAGAAGTTACTTACTGAATGTGGAATAAAAGGCATGTAAGTACCCAATGTAGCTCTAGCAATGAAATGTAATAAATCTTGATATGGTACTAAGCCATCTGCACAATGTGGATGATACGTACTACCAACATGTAGAAAGCTACATGCAATTGTTGTTGCACGTAACTGTTGCATAACAGAATCTAAGACATGAACATCTGTAGTTCCTACTATACCATCTGACACAATAATCATATCTAAAATGTTAATTACATGATAATATATTTTATGTTTGCAGCTATGATATACAATATGTCTGATCAATTCTCCCCTTGCACTATGCTTTCCTCTCTTGTTAAACTGACACTTCAACCAGACCATATTGTTAATATACATTTGTAAAACTTACGTGCACAACTGTGTTCTGGTAGAAGTGTAAGTGCTAACATTCCATATCTCAGCATGTTAACAAAATTTGACTCTGGAGAAATTACTGAAACATTAGCAACACATATACTACTTTTATTCATACAAGTATTGCTTTCTTCAAAAAGACCTCCCACCAATCGTTCACTTTCAGCTCTTAAATTTTCTAGTTGCTGACTAGCTATAGCAGTGATACATGCTATTTTTTCTTCTAATATATTAAGTTGTTTCTTTATAAAACTTGTTAGTTGATTAACATTATCCATAGTTACTAGCCAACCCTGTACTAGAACCTGCTGTGCAGGACTTGTAAAAAATGGTGTATGAGCAATTATAGTTACATAAATTTCTGGTAGCATTATTCTTTTACTTCCTGGTATAATGAACTGTAAGAATAACAGGTAAAAATAACATATTATCATAGTAAAAAAATTATTTAAACAAACATAAAAATGTTAGCTATTTACAGTAAAAATAAACCAATGCTTACAGGCTTAATAATATTTTCCAAAAATCGTTTTGTTGCCATATACACTTCATCTATTACAATTTCACCATGTTGTATATCCTATAATACAACCAAGTATAGAAATGTAATAGTTTCCTTAAAATATATTTAATTGTAATATCTATGATACAGATTATATTTTTATGTATACTTACTATAGTTGCGAGTGATGGACTTAAATCTAAATTAAACACCATCCTATATTTATGAGCTAAGAATATTATCGAAGTTGTCGACGTTACTCTATAAAGATATTGATGGCTAGTTTCGGAAGACCATGGTTCAACTTTTGTCTTTGGTAAAACAGATACAACTTCCAATTCTGGTGCTTCTTTGTTTTTAAAACTTGGACACTGTATATTTATCAAGGTATCTAAATGTTCCAACATCCATTGGGCTCTTACATTTCGAGATATAGGAAATCCTTTTTTCATTAGCAAGAAAACAGTTTCTGCTTCAAGGATAGGTTTCTCCTGTAGAATAATATTTTCTAGTATATGTAAATTATATAAATTTCAAAGGTCACAAGAAAAAATATGTTAATGATAAAGCTATAATGATACATCTTTTATCATAAAATACAATTACGTATATAAATAATTTACCTCGTTTTTTGTAGATGCCATTATGTTTATTATTATTTATTTTGGTATCAACAATTACGTATGAATTACGTATTAATAAAAAGTTAAAGTTCTAAGTACATTACTACAATATGTACATAATCACGACTTTTAGGAAAATCATGCATATTGATTCACTATGGGCACATTTTTGCGTACAATTTTTCAAAAACCACGTTGTCGTTCACCAGATTTAATGTTCACTTAACTTTACAATAAATATAGTATAACCTTAAAAGTTTAACAAGAATAATATAACCTCGGTGAAATTGTTCAGAAGTGGTATCATTACTATCATTTTTTTTTATTTATTACTACTATTCTTAAATTAATAATTATTTTTTAAAACAAGTGTTCATAAAATTGAAATTTCAGCAAATATTTAATTGGGCTATGCAATTTGAAAGTAGCAAAATTAAAACAGTTACATGTAGATAACATTACATATTACATTGTTGACAAATTTACTTTCAATGTTTATAAACAACAATAAAGTACACCGTATATGTAACATGCAATAATTTGATACAATAAATGTTTGACAATATATTACATTTATCAATAAAAATTCTTTACAAATAAATAAATCATACTAAATTAGAAGTTAATAAAAGTATTTTACCAATTGCATGTTTTAATATTTCCAACGACTGGACATTCAATATTATTTATTATTATTAATTATCATGCGGTGGTGAAAGATCAACACCTATATTTTTTGGAAAAAAATATGTATATATATGAAAAATTGTATCTATCTCGAATTCTTCGAGTTTCATTTTTGATAATAGCGATTAAAAATTGGTTATTTGTTGATCGTGTGCTGTTCAAAACAACAGACAGACCGATTACTATTCGTTCAATGAAAGAATGCTCTTATTTCGCGCAACATGCCTAACTTCAGTAACCTCCCTTCTTTTTAATTTTGTCCCACTGATATATACTTTTGACTTCATCGACTATATACACAGTGAACAAAAATATTTCAATAGAAAAAAGTGCAATGAATGACAGATTTGATCAAGTGGTTAAGAAATCATATTCAGTTATCATCAAATTTCAAAACTCCTAACATCAAATTTTGAGATTGCCATATTCTCAAATTCCTCAGTCCTCAAATTTTCCAATAAAGAACATACAAATTAGAGATCACTAAGTATATATTCTCAGCATTACAAACGCTGTAAAGGCGCATGCACATGGCTTTGGTTACGAAATATATTTGAACCAACCATAGTCAGCTTGCGCAGAACAAACTGAAATTCGTCTGATGATGGATACGATCTTTTGTTGAACGAAGAAAGTTATCAAAATATAGTACTATAATTAAAGGCTTATTTTTAATAAGTTTGAAGCACATGCTATTTAATTTGTGTATATAGGTTGAATGCACACAAAACATAATATATCTTTATGATAAACCGTGTATCACTTCATAATTTTTTTTCTGCGTCACTCATCTAATTTCAAATTTGAGTCAAAGAAAATTGAATATCTATAATCGTGAGTCAAGTTAATTTTCATGTCAGACGTAAGTTTACATGTAGTTGTGCGACGTTACATAGCAAGGATGCCAAGTTTTAAAGTTATTAAATTATAGTTTGTTATATTTTAGATACAAACGGAATTTAACGAAGGTAAGGAAACATTCAGTAATAGTAATTTTAAAGTTATGAATACATTGATTATGTATATTCACTTAATGAAATTAATTAAAAAGATTCTACTGCCACTCCCTAATTTTTCCCTTCACTGTTATTGTAAACATTTCAATTATATAGAATTTTTATATAAAGTTTTTAAATTTTGTTTTAATAAATAATTGATGGCATTAGATTTATAATTCACGATATTGTTTAATTGCAGAACACTTAATGATTAATCAATCATTTTGAGATACACAACAATAATGTATCATGTACAAACAGTTTTGATATACACCCTGGTTGCATTAACTGGTGTATATACTCAGAACTTTTTATATGGAGAAGAATATAATCAATGTCCCCTACATTGGATAAAATTCCAAGAATCATGTTACCGTTTTATAAAAAGTCCTGTTAGGGAAAGACAAGATGCGAGAAAAAATTGTCAGGCCTATCAGAGTGATCTTCTTACAATTAATTCATTGGAAGAACATGGATTTATAATGTATCAGTTGTTATGGCAAGATCCACAACACCACAAATGGTACACTGGTATAAAGAATCAAAATGGTAATTGGGTGAATGAAGCTGATAATACTCAATTAACAAACATGGATAATGCATTTTTACCAGAACCGAATGATAGAGATTATAATAGAGATTATGTAGTATACTCTTATAATAATAATCTACGACGTTGGGGACTTGAAACTGTAACTGGTAGTGAAAAATTGTTATATATTTGCGAAGCGCCTATGTCAAATTTGCATAATTTAATAGAAGACGATCGCACTTACCATTATGGTGTTGAGATTGAAAATCCTAATGAGATACCTAGAGGGCCATATTTTATTAAACAACCTGTGGATAAAGTATTTGATGTATCAAAAAGAAAAATAAACAATGATATTTCATTAAGCTGCTTAGCAGGTGGCTATCCTGCACCCACATATGAGTGGTTTAAAGAAGACTATGAAAATGATAGATTAATTGCAACAAAAATAAATCCACTAGATAATGCAAGATATACTGTAAGCGGTGGTACTTTGATTATCTATGAGCCTGATCAGGTAAATATATTTTACATTTGGTAGAATTTATGTATTGAGTATAAATATAACATAAAAATTTTAATGATGTTTAGACAGAAGATAGAGGTGCATACCATTGTAAAGCAACAAATAAATTTGGTACAATTATATCTGAAAGTGTGGAACTATCATTTGGATATATTTTGGAGTTCAACTTAAAACGTTCAGAAGAGCGAGGAGATCAAAAATGGGGAAAAGCTGTATATTGTGATCCACCTCAACATTTTCCCGGAGTAAAATATTATTGGGCACGTGACTATTTCCCTAATTTTGTCGAAGAAGATAAACGTGTTTTCGTTTCCCATGATGGAGCTCTTTATTTTTCTGTATTGGAAATGATTGATCGTGGAAATTATTCTTGTAACGTTCAAAGCGTTGCTTCCGACACCGGTCGTAACGGACCATTCTTCCCTTTAAGAGTTGATCCACATTGTAATTAATTTTTGTTTCTTAATTTAAAATCAAATATTTTTTTACAAAATGATCATCATTAAATATGTTTTTTCGTCTTTCAGCCTCTTTCCAGCAATTAAAGTTTCCTAATAATTTTCCGAAAGCATTTCCTCAAGCGCCAATCGCAGGAGAAGAAGTTAGACTCGAGTGCATTGCATTTGGATAGTAAGTTTCTATTTTCTAAAATAAACTTTTAATTCGACCACATTGGTAAATCGTAATATTTATGTCATTTATCATATTAACTATTTTTTGTATTTAACATAGTCCTGTTCCTTCGTTTAATTGGACAAGAAGGGGTGGCTCATTACCACGTGGATCATATACAACTAGTTATAACCGAGTATTAATTATACCGAAAGTACATGTTGATGATCAAGGAGAGTACATTTGCAGAGCCCATAATGACAGATTGTCGATTGAAAACTCTGTAACATTAACTATTCAAGCAGCTCCAAATTTTACTATTCCACTGGTAGATAAACACATGGATAACAGAGGAGAACTAACTTGGACTTGTGAAGCATTTGGAATACCAGATGTTACTTATAGTTGGTTTAGGAATGGTGAATTATTAAACGTAGATACCCTTCCTATCGAAGATAGAGAACGATATTTTATACAAGATAATGTTCTAACTATAAAAAATTTGGACCCCGAACGAGACCAAGCTATGTATCAATGTCGCGCCAGAAATCAATTAAAGACAAAATATTCGTCTGCACAACTAAGAGTTTTATGTAAGTTATTATTTAAACATTTCATTTAAACTTAATAAAATTATTGCATTTTTCAAATTACAGCATTAAAACCATCATTTAAAAAACGGCCTATGGAACCTGAAACTTATGCAGCTGAAAGAGGTAATGTTACTATCTTTTGCAATCCTGAAGCTGCGCCCAAACCAAAATTTGTTTGGAAGAAAGATGGAAATATTATTGGCTCTGGTGGTAGACGTAGAATCTTAGAAGGTGGCAACCTTATAATTAGTCCTGTTTCAAGCGATGATGAAGGCACGTATGTTTGTAGCGCAACAAATCAATATGGATCCGATGAAACTCGAGGGCGATTAATAGTGTTACGTAAGTTAATATAAATATTTTGCAATATTTAAATGCCGATTTTACAATATTTCTAAATATTGATTTTAAATGAAGGTCGCCCATATTTTCTGGAAAAATTACCTCAACGTATAACTACAGCGGTAATGCAAAATCAAACTTTACGCTGTATAGGGGAAGTGGATGAAATGTTAGATGTAGCTTATATTTGGAAACACAATGGTTTACGAATCAGGGATGAAGATCTAGCAAGTAATCCTAGATTACGTATCGATGGTGGAGAACTAAATATAATAAATGCTACATTCGCGGAAGCTGGGGATTATGAGTGTATAATTAAGAGCGCTGTAGGGGAAATTTCTAGTACAACAACGGTTATGATAGAAGGACCACCTGGACCACCAGGTGGTGTTCAAGTTGTAAATATCGTCAAAACATCTACAACATTACGTTGGACAGACGGTGCTTTTAATGGCAGACCCATTACTATGTATACTGTAAGCGCGAGAACTAACTGGAACCACACATGGTTCAATGTTATAGAAAGTATGTATAACGTAATTTTCTGTTAAACATATACTATTATTATATACTTCATGATAATAACAACGTATATAATGCATATTGTTTCAGATATCACTGCCATAGAAGTAGATAGATACAATGGCAGAAAAGAGGCTTATTTGGAAAATGTTTTAAATCCTTATACTACTTATGAATTTTGTGTATCCGCTTTTAATGAATTGGGATATAGTGTGCCATCAGCACCTTCTCCACAGTATAGTACACCATCAGATAAACCATATAAAATTCCATCTAACATAGGTGGGGGAGGTGGTAAAATTGGAGATCTGACAATAGCATGGAATCCTTTACCACCTTCTGAACAGAACGGTCCAGGAATTTACTATAAAGTCTTTTGGCGTCGAAAATATCACGAGAAAGAGTTTCAGTCTTTATCTCTGAAAGGACAGGGTAACATTGGAAGAAGTGTTGTAGCAATACAACCGCAGTATTATTATACAGAATATGAAGTCAAGGTTCAAGCGATAAATTCATTAGGTTCTGGGCCAGTTTCCAATGAAGTTACGATATTTAGTGCAGAAGACATGCCACAAGTAGCTCCACAACAAGTTGTTGCACATAGTTACAATAGTACTAGCTTGAAAGTTAGTTGGTCGCCAATTGAACAAACTCGTGAAAAGGTACGAGGCAAGTTGATAGGTCATAGGATAAAATATTGGAAAGAAAGTAACAGAGAAGAAGATGCAGTATATTATTTGTCTCGAAGTACACAACCTTGGGCTCTTGTAGTCGGTTTGCAACCTGATACCTATTACTACGTAAAAGTAATGGCATACAACTCTGCCGGAGAAGGTCCCGAAAGCGAACGATATTTAGAAAGAACTTATCGAAAAGCACCACAGAAACCACCGTCTTCTGTCACTGTGAACGGTATAAATCCTTCGACGATCAGAGTTGTATGGCGATACGTACAGCCAAGTTTAGAAGAAGAACCATTAATAGGTTATAAAATACGTGTGTGGGAATTAGATCAAGATATGAGTACCGCGAATGATACCATTATACCAGGTGGATCAAAATTAGAAGCAGACATCACTAATCTTACCCCTGGTAAAGCATATCATTTACGAGTACTCGCATTTAGCAAAGGAGGAGATGGACGCATGTCAAGTCCAACTCGTACATTCCAAATGGGTGATGAAGCTCTTTTTAAAAGTAGCGCGAGTAACAAGATATTAGATGCTGCCTTAGGTATATCATTGTTATTACTATTACGAATTTATAATTGTGTGTAATATGAGCATATTTTTTATACAAAATAGATATAGCAAATATTTAGCAACCATTTTTAAAAATGCAATGAAAAAATGCAATATATTGAATATTTTTATGTAGATAAAACAAATATAAATTTTTATAATTTTTTTACATTATTAAGTTAATGGTATCTAATATTAACACGTTACTAATGATCTGAATATTATTGAATATTAATAACACATTAAATTGTTACAAATAACAAGAGAAAACATAATTAAGACTTTTGATCAGAGTAACGTTTGATACATTCATTTTGTCAGTATAAAAATTCATTCGTTTAATATCATATCATGTTTAACAACAGTAACTGATTCTTATATAGTATTGTTATACAGTATGAGTAATTTTGTACTTCAAAATATTACCTTAATTAACCTAACTTCTAAACGTTAGTTAATCTAAAACATTAATTATATTAATGTTTAACCGCTTAAGTGCTAGTATGAGTTACAAGAATATTGGTATGAGAACGTTGATTAAGGGCCCCAGATCAACATACATTTTATCAAAACAATGATATTTAGTTATTTCAACTATACACATAGTTAACTAGAATTATCCCGAGAAATCAGATAATAATTTAAAAAGTTATATCATTAATAAAGAAGGAGCAAAATAATACTTGTTGGCAATCTTCTGGTAAAGAGAAAGAATGCGATATTCTTTAATATCTTCGGAATATAAGTCATAGGTGCGATTGTGCAGCTAAAAGTATAATCAGTTAAATATAATATAAAATTTTTATTATTTTTGCACATTTTTATAATTATTTTTAAGAATTTGTAAACAAAAGATCTTTTTATTTTAGTTGACAAAGCTTCTATCCATCCGTCCATAAATATCCAGATGATAGACTGTAAATAATATTTATCACCTTAATCTTTTTCAATAAATTTTGAAACAACTTTAATGTTGCTCTGTTTGTACAGACAATAATAAAATACTTCATAAAAAATTTCATTAAGGAATCAATAATTTGATACATAAATTTTCAGTTATGTAAGAAGTTTTTTATTGGAGAATGACATTAAGAAATAATGTTTTTTACGGGTGCATACAAATTTAGATTTGAATAGAATTCAAGTTTTTATTATGTGTTTATTAATATAACTTTTAGTTATAAGAAATTGTGTATCATTTTGTATTAATGTATTACTAAACAAACGATCTGATATTATACGTTTTACAATAAAAATAAATTTACTACTTATTTCTGTTTATTTAATGATGGAAAATCATGTAAGTGGAAGGTATGTATATGTCATTATTTTTGAAAAAACGATCATTAAAATTCAAATTTCAATGAGTCTTTAAAAAGTCCTAAATATATTTGTCTTTTTACAATATTTCAATTACATTCATATTACAGTAATATTAATAAAAAATAAATTATTTAATACGTTATATATATAAACTAAACAAATATATGTATACAAACATTCAATTGAATTTAATAGTTGCAGGAGATAACTTACATTATATTTAAGATAATATTTTTGTAGCTAATTGTAGAAGCCGGTGATTAAAAGATAAAATACAAAATGTTTTTTGACACGTCGTTATAAATATATTTTAGAGAGATAAAGTGTGTGTTACATTAATGCCGGTTATTGTGCATTGTGCACAATTTTAAAGAAAAATAATTTTTGTATTTTCATATTGTTGTAATTGTGAGGTTAAACATGTTGCGAATTGCAAGCCGAAGATTGAATAACATTCAAACGTTAACAAAAAGTTCAGCATTTAATATTAAACAGGCAAGATGTCTGAGTTTACTTGAATATCAGAGTAAAGAACTTCTTAGAGATTGTGGAGTTTCTGTACAAAATTTTGCTATTGTGGATGACTTAAATAAAGCAAATTCTGCTTTAGAAAAATTACGTTAGTATTTCATTTAATTATTTCTTATACCCACAAAATTATAGTATATTATTAAGTATGTTTATAAATATAGATGCGGATGAATATGTTATAAAAGCTCAAGTATTAGCTGGTGGCCGTGGAAAAGGCTGGTTTGATAATGGTTTTAAAGGAGGTGTACATCTTACAAAGGAGTAAGTAGATGTACACAGTATAAATGCAATATAACAACATATATGTGATTTAATTTATTTGTTAACAGCCGTAAAGCTGTTATAGATGTTGTGAAAAATATGTTAGGTCATCGCCTATTTACAAAACAGACTTCAAAAGATGGCATATTAGTACAAAAGATTATGATAGCAGAATCTGTAAATATAGAACGAGAAACATATATTTGTATACTTATGGATAGACAGCACAATGGTCCTGTATTAATAGCTTCACCAGCAGGTGGAATGGATATTGAAACAGTTGCTGAAAAAAATCCAGAATTAATCAAAACAATACCATTAGATATATATTATGGTATCGATGACAGTATTGCTAAAGAAGTCAGCACATTTCTTGGCATTGTGGAGCCAACCGTACAAGAAAAAGCAATATATGAATTAAAAAATTTGTGGAAACTATTTATAGATATTGATGCTTTGCAAGTTGAAATTAATCCATTGGTTGTAACTACAGACAAACAAGTTATAGCAGTAGATGCAAAAATATCATTTGATGATAATGCTCAATTTAGACAACAGGATTTATTTGCTTTAGACGATGGCAATGAAAAAGATCCTAGAGAAGTAGCTGCATCACGATTTAATCTAAATTATATTGGTATGGATGGTAATATAGGATGTTTAGGTATGTTCTATGAATAATACAATTAATAGTACTGTGTATATAAAAATGGTACATCACACAAGCACTTGTTTCATGTACAGTTAATGGTGCTGGCTTAGCAATGGCAACTATGGATATAATTAAATTAAATGGTGGGTCTCCAGCAAATTTTTTAGATGTTGGTGGCAGTGTTAAAGAAGACCAAGTTTATGAAGCATTTAAAATTCTAAGTGAAGGTATGTATTAAGCATTGAAATAGGTAATAACATTTTATCTATTATTAACTGTGATCCCACAATTGATCCATTCTTGATTTGATCAAATATTATTCTGTTTGGTTTAGATTGTATGTGTTGAATTCATGTGTTAGCATAGCATGAACATGCACAATCTAAACAATTGAAGAATATTTGATTAAACTATGAGCAGCAACTATTGATAGCATGAATCAGAGCTTAAAAACTAAATTTTCTAATTATTGAATGGGTACTAAAATTATTGCTTCATAATGTGCACTTACTTTTAAATTGAAAATAAAGTAGAAATGTAAATAAATAAATAAATAAATTAGTGTATTCATTAATTTTTGATTTGAATAGAAATCAGATCACATTTTAAAAAATTTCCTTAAAAGTAATGTTGAATATGTTATTTGATATCTTTAGATCCAAAAGTAAAAGTAATACTTGTAAATGTATTTGGAGGCATTGTAAATTGTGCTATTATAGCAAAAGGTATTATTGCAGCATATCATAATCTACGGCTTAAAATTCCGCTTGTTGTTAGACTAGAAGGTAACTATTCTCTTCCTACTTGCTTTGATATTTAATTCAAGTATTGATTTACTTCTTTGTATCTTGAATTTAATAATTATCCTTTCTTCTTATGTTAGGTACTAATGTAACAGAAGCAAAGAGGCTTCTTGCCGAAAGTGATTTGTCAATTCTCACAGCAAATGATTTAGATGAAGCTGCAAAGAAAGCAGTTTGCTCGGTAAAAGCATAAACTCAACAGCGATATTTTATGTCAGATCATTACAGGAGTAAAAATTCGAAAATGTAAGGGAACATTGCGAAACTTAAACGGTCATATCGTTTTTATACATTGCTAAAATATGCAAAGATCTTATTTTTTTTCTTTTCTTAATATCACTTACATAATTCTCATTTCGATTTATCATTTTTTTATGCATAATTAAGTTCTACGAAGTTCGTATATTAAAAAGACTGTAAGCGTGAAATTAATTTCATAACGTTTCGAATTTATTGTTAGTAATTTAATTATATTTATTTATTTGAATTAATAATTTTCGACTTTTTACATTGTAACAAGACTGTTTTATTTATAAGTGTTCCTGTATAGATCTTATTTGGCCATAAATTGTACACATTTTATACATTTTCGATCAAACATCCTCAATATTTTCATATTTTATATAGTTGAAAGCATAGTAATAAGAGACTTAAACTGTTTTGTATGTCGATAAGAATGCCTAAGCATATTTTTTAACGATCGTTAAGAATTTTGTACATTTATCTAATTTGTATTTTATCCAATAAAACGTTGTTCTTGTAAATTAAACAATGTCTTGCATTATTTTATAAGTCGAATAAAAATTTTTCACAAATTAATTCTATTATCCTACCTAAAAGAACATAAACGTTAAATTTACATAATTATGCAATTTCAAAATTCTCCGCAGTGATTTGAATTCCTGCACAAAAAAACTACGCGTAGCAAAAAGCGGGCTTAGTCGAGCGTTCAGCGCTCTTTTAATTGAAACTATATTTTATGTCATGCAGAGTGGGTTTTACGTTACATATTCCATTTTTGTCGAGTTAATGAACGAAAAATGAGAAACATTCTTAGGGTTCATAGAGCTATTAAATATTTTACAAAGTCGATCGCTTTTGCGACCCAATAGTTGATACAGAATTTTAAAAATTCACCCTAAACGCAAGGTAATTTATGAACTGTTAAAAGATCAGTCATTAAATTTGTAATCCGCAAAATTTTCAAATAGTCAAATTTAGATATTAAGAATTTAAAAATGTTGAAATGTGCAAAATTTGAAACTGATATTTATAAATTGAGAAGTTTGAGATTTTTAAATTGATAAACATTCAAATTTGCAGATCTAGAAATATTCAAATTGGGAAATTTAGAATTTTCGCTAGAAGGACCTTGACAATCAAGCGCTGGAGGAAGGAGTTGCACTTACATCCCTCATTACACAATTTTTCCGCTCCTACAACTCTGTCCATGGCCATATAGCAAGACTCGCATATGAAGACATTTGCCTCCTGACCCGTAAACTCTATCGGCAGCTGTGTTCTCACATTTCAATAATGCTTGTACCTGCGTCTATACGTTTCCTATATACGTATGTTGGCGTGATTAATTATTCGCTTTGTCGTCAAAGTTTTAAGCGGAGCGCGCCGAAAGTTAAACACTCATATATTTTGAAATATCGCTTTACATAGCATGGCATTAAAGGATTGCAGTTTCTTTTTTCACCGAACATTTGGTATTTAAAGTATATTTTCTCCGAGCATAATAGAATGAGCTCCGACAAAAACAATATAAGGGTGAAATAACCGAATAATTAATTAAGCACTTAAATGAGCGAAATGATAAATGAAATAGGGGGAAGGAAGAAAAAGCGGGAGAAATGATCTGCGTCTGCGTTAAAATTTTGGGGCGGTTGGAGGAGCGATAACGTCGCGACGACACTAGCTCGACCGACGTCGCAGCGCGCTGGTGTTTCTGAGATTTTCTAGTTGCATCCACTAGTGTGACTTTCGGGTTCAAATATCGTTGACCGCTAAGTATCAAATAAATTGTATCAATTGCGTAAATGAAATTAAATTCGCTGTAGTGTTTATCGTATTACTGCAACCGCTTTCACGTTCGTTTTACAATTGAAATTAATATACCGAATTAAAAAAGAAACGATGAGAGTCTGCGCGCGTTTTATTTAATATGCAATTGTAAATTTAACGAAAGAAACAACAAGACAGGTAAAATGTAAAGAATTCCTTGGATTTATTAAGAAAGGTAGTGTTTTTCCGATTCGTCTGAGAAGATTGAAAGGAAACATTCCCGATGAGGTTGATGGATACGCGGAATCGCAACTTTTCTCTGTCCGAAGTACATCGTTAAGGATAAAGGACCATTTCCTGAGAACCTGTTGAGGATAAAGGAACAAACTTTACTGGAATACTTTTCAAGAAGTGGAAACGAAGTTCGAGGGATATTTCCTGGAAGATCAAGCGGAAAAGAGGCAGGAATTTTTAAGTAATCGAGCTGGAAGTTGCAAGTTTCAAGACAATTACTCGAAAAATATTTCAGGAGCAATATAAACAAAAGTTAAAGTATTTTTAAATACGAAAAGAATCTTTTTCCGAGAAACTGAACAGACTCACTCGAAGAATACCAAACGTCTATTCTTTCCGGTTTGATTATTTAAGTTCACGGTAGGGTAAAATTTACGATAGAAACTGTCGGCCGAAGATTCGCGGACTAGTTTTAAAATATTTAAAGAATTCCCGTGTGCAACGTGTCTTCCCGATTGCCGGGGACATTTCGCTTAAAATTATTGCCCTGTACCGGTCATTCGGACATCGAGGAAGATTAATAGAGTTTACGGTCGCCCGTTCATAAGATAAAAGAAGCAACAGGAAGAAAAAGGAAATACGTTGAAAAGAATCATGAATTTTAACACCTCATCCAGCCACTACGTTTGCAACTTGTCTTCGTTTCACTCGCACTATTCCCAGTTGCACGGATGGATCTCTCTTTTCGTATGCATTTTCGGCTCGATCGCGAATATCCTGAATATTCTCGTTCTAACCCGACGAGAAATGCGATCGCCCACGAATATAATTTTAACAGGATTAGCCGTGGCGGATTTACTCGTAATGATCGATTACATTCCTTACGCGTTTCATCTTTATCTGTATCGACGATCCAGGAGAGACACATTTACTTACGGCTGGACTATCTTCGTGCTGTTTCACTCGAACTTTGCCCAGGTAACACTGTGTAAACATTCGTATAATTAGAATTTTTCGAGTCCTTCCGTTAACGCATTTAACCCTATCATTAACTATTCTACATATCACACGTACGAAATTTCGAAATTCCAGAATTTAGGACTTTATTTTGAAAAATTCATAATTTGGAAATTTTAGTATTTAACAATTTGAGAATTTAAAAATTCTTGCATTAAGAATGAATAAAATCTTTAAGCTTGAAAATAGCAGTTACAGTATTTTTTAATTTAGAAATTTGAAAATGTGGAAATGTAATTTGAAGCTTTTAGTATTTAACAATTTGAGAATTTAAAAATTCTTGCATTAAGAATGAATAAAATCTTTAAGCTTGAAAATAGCAATTGCAGTATTTTTTAATTTAGAAATTTGAAAATATAGAAATTTAACTTTAGAAAAAAATTTAAGAATCTTTTAGCAATATGAAATTATCATTACTTGATTTTTAACTTGCTAGACACGTGAATTAGCTGTAAATTTGAAAAGTTATAAATTTAATTCTACTACTAATACAAGATACGATGTCCGGTCCACTCTAATCCCTAGCTAATTTCGCGAGTGCACATAAATCAAACTAAAGGATTATCATGTTAACGAAATTTGTCCAAGTAAATAAACCGCAGTTATCAACGCGCCAAACAGGCTATTTCTTGTTTGTAAACAAATTTCCGTGTAAGAAAAAAATTGGTTGCAATATCGTCGTTCTACAAAGTCGTTTCGGTATTTATGGTTCATCGCATTCTTCCGGATGCTTCGTTTCCTTGCGTTGTTTGATGAGGATTGACCTACATGTTTGAAAACCAATCAATCCAACATACTGGATCTTCCTTCTTCTTTAATTAAAGGCTAAATTGCACAGTCCGACAAGACATGAATTTAGTTCTATTTCATTTTACTGTAATTCTACGTTGTTGAAGGACTGACGACTTGATCAATCTTGTTTTAACGAGAGTAGTAACAGCTACTGAGAGCAAGACAAGCAACTCGAAGTTCCGTGTTGTTTCACGGAACGTTTTCCTTCGCGAATAAGCTTATCAATACGGAAGGAGAAAATTGGGATGTTGTAAATTAGGTATTTGACGTTTCAATTATTCCACAGGTTTGTCATACCATTTCAATTTGTTTAACCCTCATACTGGCCGTGTGGAGATACGTGGCGGTAGCAAGGCCGCAACAAAACAGAGAGTGGTGTAGTTACAGAAGAACTATTTTTGCGATTTTTATTGCGTACGTTTTCTGTCCCGTGCTTTGTGTACCCTTGTACATCACGACCGAAGTGAAAGAGCAAGTAGAAATCTTAGCAATTAACAAATCTTTAATCTTCAAAATAGTAATTACAATATTTTTTAATTTAGAAATTTGAAAATATAGAAATTTAACTTTAGAAAAAAATTTAAGAATCTTTTAGCAATATGAAATTATCATTACTTGATTTTTAACTTGCTAGACACGTGAATTAGCTGTAAATTTGAAAAGTTATAAATTTAATTCTACTACTAATACAAGATACGATGTCCGGTCCACTCTAATCCCTAGCTAATTTCGCGAGTGCACATAAATCAAACTAAAGGATTATCATGTTAACGAAATTTGTCCAAGTAAATAAACCGCAGTTATCAACGCGCCAAACAGGCTATTTCTTGTTTGTAAACAAATTTCCGTGTAAGAAAAAAATTGGTTGCAATATCGTCGTTCTACAAAGTCGTTTCGGTATTTATGGTTCATCGCATTCTTCCGGATGCTTCGTTTCCTTGCGTTGTTTGATGAGGATTGACCTACATGTTTGAAAACCAATCAATCCAACATACTGGATCTTCCTTCTTCTTTAATTAAAGGCTAAATTGCACAGTCCGACAAGACATGAATTTAGTTCTATTTCATTTTACTGTAATTCTACGTTGTTGAAGGACTGACGACTTGATCAATCTTGTTTTAACGAGAGTAGTAACAGCTACTGAGAGCAAGACAAGCAACTCGAAGTTCCGTGTTGTTTCACGGAACGTTTTCCTTCGCGAATAAGCTTATCAATACGGAAGGAGAAAATTGGGATGTTGTAAATTAGGTATTTGACGTTTCAATTATTCCACAGGTTTGTCATACCATTTCAATTTGTTTAACCCTCATACTGGCCGTGTGGAGATACGTGGCGGTAGCAAGGCCGCAACAAAACAGAGAGTGGTGTAGTTACAGAAGAACTATTTTTGCGATTTTTATTGCGTACGTTTTCTGTCCCGTGCTTTGTGTACCCTTGTACATCACGACCGAAGTGAAAGAGCAAGTAGAAATCTTAGATTCCAACGGAATGAGTGTAAGCAATCGAAATCAAAGTCTGATTGGTAAGCAATTACATAATTTTTATTTCTGTATTTTATTAATATATTTCATTTTTAAAATATCTTAAACTTTTGTCTGTATAAATCATGTGTCATTTATGCAATAGTCTTGTTATAACTATTTAATTAGAAAAGCTCGTTTGCATTTGTTCGATAGGAAATTATTACGTAATTAGTTATACAAGGGATCTCGCGCAATGGGTTATAAACCAGTGATGGACAAATCGAGTGCCCTGGGCGCTCTAGAGTTTTCCGGAAATTTTTGTGACTTGAGAATTTAGAAATTGAGGAGAAATATAAATAGATTATAAATTTAGAAATTCAGAAGAAATATAAATAGATTATAAATTTAGAAATTGAGAAGAAATATAAATAGATTATAAATTTAGAAATTTCGAAAGCTGAAAATTTCAAGTTTTTAATATTTCAAATTTCAAATTCCAAATTTTTTAGCACTCCACTATTACTACAGATTTACCTACTATTACTAAGAATCTTCCATTTCTATTGTAACATATTTCCACGAAAACGCTGTAGTATTTTGCAGTTTAAAAATATCTAGGAAAATAACTTTTAATAGGCAAACGTTACAGCAAGATTGAAACCGTATGGAAATATTTATTCTGTTTATAAAAAAGCAATTCGCAGTACATTTTAAAAAGAGAAAAAGAAAGCTCGTTTATTTCCGTATTATTCGAAATTCAGTTCTGTCATAGTCTATGTTTTGCGCATTAGTGTGTAAACGAGACATTGAATAATATATTTAATGAGTTTTGTGAGAATAGCTCGCAACTATCATACGAGCATTAATTAACATAGTAGTTAAAAAGTTTGCTGGCTGCGTAACAGAAGACTGGACGCACAAATACCCTCAATATTTTAGCAATACATTGCTCGTAAAGAATTTAAAAAATTTGAAATATTTCTTTAAAAAGATCAAGATACCGCGTATTAAATTTTTTAACACAGATCTGCACGTTGAATCTCTAGTTTATTACATTATTTTCAATGTTCTTTTTATAAAGTTACGAGCATACGAAGATATCTGTAACACTAATATGTCAGAATAACTGAGCGAATGCAATTCTGCATTTTCGTTCGGTTAACTCTGTTTTCTTCCCTTTTATTTTCGCATTCATTCTGCCAAACGAAATTGTTTGTCTTTCTAGATTCACCGCTCGAGAACACGACAAACGTTACACTATATTTCGTTCGATTATCCGAAACGGCAAAAAATCATGATATCCTGAAAGAATTAAATTTCTGGATCTACAGTGTCGTAATAAAACTTTTTCCTTGCGTTGTTCTAACGATTGTCAGCTTGAAACTTCTTCAAGTGTTGTTGGAGGCAAAACGGCGGAGGCGAAAGTTAACGAATATTCAGGAGGAAAATTCGGAAAGGAAGAAAAGCTGTCGAAGAGTTGAAAAGGAACGGCAAACTGATCGTACCACGATGATGTTGCTCGCAGTCTTGCTGCTTTTTCTATTGACAGAACTACCCCAGGGAATACTGGGACTTTTTAGCGTACTTCTTGGTCCAGGATTTTTCTGGACTTGTTACTTGATGTTGGGTTAGTACACTTACACTGGTACGCTGAACTTTCTTCCTCATCATTTTCACCGTTAAAATGCAACTGTCTAAAAGTTCCGTTTCAAGAAGTACATTTATCAAACATCGGTACTTTAAAAGAAAAGTTTAATACCCTAGCGGAAAAGTCTACCTCGGTATTGAAATATAATTGTAGCTGGTACGTGCGCGAGCAGGGACGCATTTATACCTTTTGGACGCCCCAGGCGTAACATTATTATAAGACCTCACAAGAAGTCCATGTTTTTTAATTAAATCCATATACATTTCTGTTTTCAAGTTTATGAAAGAAGGAGTATTTTCGTAACAACACTGTTCATTTCTAAAGCCAACCATAAGAGTACTTCAAATTTAAATTAAAAGAATAATATGAATGAATGTTTTGATGTGAATTAAAATGTTGTGTTTTCTATCTTTTACTTGTTTTACTCTTAGTCAAAGGAAATATTGAAGATATCTAATTAATCTGTTATGGATGTTTTTTTTCATGTACATATATTAAGTATTTTTTGCAACTCAGCCAATTTTCAAAAAATAAAAGTAAGGTTCTAAAATGTGGTCCATGGAGAAGTCTCAGTTTGCGTCCAATGCACTTTATGGTAAAATGGTCCTGTTCGCGTGTAACGGAAGTGTCTCTTGATTAACAGGAAACGCGGAAAAAGTCTTGCACTACCTGGCTTGTTTCCGTTGAATCGAAACCAAAAAAAAGTTCCTTCCTCTCCATAATTCTTCTTAATCGATGGAAGCTTACATTGCGCCTGACAGAATCATTTAAAACGAAGCCTGTACATGCAGCTTTAAAATATTAGTCTGTTGCACAAATCGAATAGCCGGTTTCGAAACATAGAAAGTGACACGATTTTACTACATAAACGTATCGCGGAATAGCAGCTGTACCATGGTTATTTAAAAATGATTTTATATAAACATCGAACGATTTTTCGTCGCTTCGATTTTCGATATTTAATTAAGAATAAAAATAGTCGTATACGTGTGTGAACCTTTTTACACGGGAATTAATTTTTTCCTCTGATCTGATTTTTTCTTCTATAAAAGAACGTTATCGTCACTTTGCTTCGGTACAAAAGCTGCACGGACCATTGTATCAGAACTAAAAGCGCTCTGCAGCCGAGAGAAAAGTTTAAAAGCCAAGAAGCATGTGTTGAATAAACATCAATGAACGCGATAACGGAATATCTAAAAAATATTTATCGATTATTAAATCTTTGTATGCAAAAATTATTAAAATTTAATATTTAATATAAATCCATAGACTACCATTTTCGATATATTTTAGAATTTACCTATAAAAATAAAGATAGCTGTTTAGTGCAATTATAATTTTATTTTGTAATTTTTAGGTGACGTTATCGATATGTTAACTCTTGTCAATTCAGCTATAAATTTTATACTTTATTGTACAATGAGTAGACAATTCAGGAAAACGTTTAACGAACTTTTCTGTAAAAGCTGGAAACTTCCTAGGAGTACTAGGAAACAGATTTTCATAGAGAACAATGGAAACACGGGTACAAATCATACGGTAACACAAGTGACGCAAGTATAGTTGGTAAAGAATTGATAAAATTTTTTTCAGCGATATTTATCTAATGAAATATGTTAGTTCTGATTGTGACTTTTTCTGTAAGTAACATTAACAATAAAATGTTTCGTATGGAAAGTATAAATAGACATGTGGAATTATAAATAAACATTAAGGATAACGATATGATAATAAAATTAATAAAATTATGTGTTTATAATATTTTTTTATACTTGTTACAGCAAATTACAATTTTAAATTTCGATTTTATCGTGTGAGAAGACTACGATGCGCATAAGACATTACGTATTGTACTAACAGATGACGCTGCGATGTATGTTTTACAAAATAACACCAATGATTCGATTTTTAACGAATTAAGAAACGTTTTTTTAAAATTGACACTGCCACACATGACTAACGAATAATCTTATTGTATACGGTGCAGTGATACTTGACCAAAGGTAAATAAAAAAAATAAAAATATTATAATTTTACCGAGAGTGCGTTTCGTGAATTTGAAAATTGGCGGTAATTCCGTTTGTTCTGATTCGAGCGCCCCTATCGGCAGTCTTGCCAACTAACAACTAACAGCAATGGCGGAACAGATTCGTTTAAGACGCTAGAGTATACTCGCCGAACTGAATTTTTCGCACAAATTCTGTTACAAATGTAAAATGAGTAAAACTAATTCGTGAAAGTCTTCTGAATTTGTTACTTTATCGATAAAATAACGCTCGGGAAATTTGTCATAAGTTAAACTCGCATCGTGCTGTTTTAATTGTGCCCGAAGAAGGAGACGCTTCGAGAACCAGTGTGAAAGGTATGTTCAACTTTATCCTTTTAAATGTTTATTTTTACATAAATTTTCTATTTCCCGATACGTCCGCTTTCTCTCTGCAATAATTTATGCGACAAAATGTTTCTCCGACAAGTGTGAACTATAAAGTGCGTTCGTAAAAAAATGTCGTTTTCATGTACGAACTTTTTCTTTTTTGACGCTGTGGTGTTAATTAGAATGCAATTTCTAAGTAATATTTGAATTAATTACTTTAATAATATATTCCTCTTTTTTAAATATCAAAGTGTAATTTTTTATACACAATATGCAAAATATATTCATTCATTATACCATTGTAATTATTCATCGTAATTGATAAATATTTCATAGGTTAGGAAACAGTTTTTTAGTTTTTCTGTTTTTACGTTTTGCGTCATTAGGTTACGATTGAATTTAGAAGAAAATAGTTCATGCTTTGCGGCCATCTGTGACAAGTATGTTTAATTAAATTTGAATTTAAACGCGGTAATTAAATTTACTTTGTGATGCACTTCGAAATAAATTCAATTCAAACAAACAAGATTACGTACGCGTCTTTTACCTAATATTCTCCGAATCATTATCATGAAAGTTGACAAATTTGATACCATAATTCTTGAATCTCTGTAATTCCTAAATATATATTGGTATCAATTTTCCTTGTCACTATTCCAAGAATCAACAAATCAAAATCATTATCTGTAGCCAAAAAGTGTTAATATATGACCAATAAAACTAGTGTTATTCAACAGGTATTAATACTTTTTTTAGAAATTACACAAAATGTTTATTTGTAGATTGAAAAAGGCAATGAAACCTCCATATTTTGCAAATGATGAAAGGCATAACTAGTACAATTTGACAGTAACTAGTTGCAATTTGACAGTGAATCAGTGTATACAAACGTGTTAGTGTGTCAGTGCATTGCAGTATTCCACTGTAATTCCCAGAATTTGTCAATTTCCCGAAGTTGTATATATTCAAATTTATATGCATCTCAGACACTTCATCAGTGCATATACCGTGCACACCTGTGTCCATGAACTTTACAGTCACTTAATCCACTTGTCACTGACTTATAATTGATAAACTGTTTATGAGTAATTTTATTTTATATAACTAGTTTTTCTATAAAATAACAAGTACTATCTACGTCGCAAAATAACCGTATCGATAACGTGTTCGATTGAAATTCTTCAGGTATTCTTGAATAATTCAAGTTCGTTATTAGTCAGGTGTCTCGAATGGTAAACAAATTAAATTTATGTTAGGCAATTAGTTCATTTTTCTCGGAACAGCTCGCGATCGATAACAATATGTAAAACAGCGTTTTATAAGAAGCATTTCGGACAATGGTTGTCACGACCTTAATAACAAGGTGTGCCCTTGGTTTAAGCCGGTTCGAGGAAAGGTCGATTCGAGAGAATGGAGCGTAATCGTCATAAAGAAGTTTGTTTGTCGTTGATAAGATGGCCGGCTCTACCACAAGGTAACAGATACGATAACAGGCTCTATGAGGCCCATATATGCGACCAGCTGAAATGGGAGCATAGCGTGTCTCTCGATTTCTCCGTTCGAAACGTTCCTGGAATCCTCTCTGAAATAGTCCTCGATCCACCGCTGATCGAGGCCCGGCTCGGCTCGCCTCGCCTCGGCTCTGCTCGTTTCTATTTAGTCACCTTTATGATTCCAGCCTATAATTCTTACTCCTCGGTTGCCTTTCTAATTTACGCGCGATCCTAATGCGACATTATAAAATCATTTGCGTTCTCGCAAAAAAAATTAACATTCTTCTACGTCCTGCAAATGACTTCGGAAGAAACGAAATAACAACGAAGCTACTTTCATTACTGGTTTTCGAGTAGATTGAAGGAAATCTACACTGTAAAAGTGAAGTATCTATATTGTATCAACATTCTATTCCTGTATTTCTAGAGTACTATATCTCTAGAATCTAAAGCCCGGAGTTTCTACACTTCAGTTTCTGCTAATCCTTATATCTCTAGGATGAAGTAACGCTATATACCTAGACCTCATATTGCATTATTCATATGTCCCAATATTGCAATATATTTAGATTCAGTATTGCAATATCTTTAAATCTCAAGGTCACGATAACCCTAGAATTCATTATCGTAATATATATATATCGTTCTAAATATTGAAATATCCCTAGGCACCGATGTTGCAATATATCTCGTTGTCAATATTCCTAGATCGAAATATCCCTAGACTACGATATTCAAAGATTCCAATATTCTCAGACTCAAGATCGTAATATTTCTAGATCCCAATATCGAAATATCCCCAGATATCAGTATCATGTCAAAATATCCCTAGATCTCAACGTCGAAATATCCCTATATTCCAACGTCAAAATATCCCTGGATCGCAACGTCGAAATATCCATAGATTGTAATGTCAAAATATCCCTAGATCCCCGTGTTCAAATATTCCTAGATCTCAAAGTCGAAATATCCCTAGAACCTCATGTCAAAATAGCCATAGGACCTAATGTCGAAATATCCCTAGATCCTAATGTCGAAATATCCCTAGATTCTAATGTCAAAATATCCCTAGATCTCAATGTTGCAATATCCCTAGAATCCAACGTTGAAATATCCCTAGAATCCAACGTCGAAATATCCTTATATCTCAAAGTCGAAATATCCCTAGAACCCAGTGCCAAACTATTTAGTCACCTTTATGATTCCAGCCTATAATTCTTACTCCTCGGTTGCCTTTCTAATTTACGCGCGATCCTAATGCGACATTATAAAATCATTTGCGTTCTCGCAAAAAAAATTAACATTCTTCTACGTCCTGCAAATGACTTCGGAAGAAACGAAATAACAACGAAGCTACTTTCATTACTGGTTTTCGAGTAGATTGAAGGAAATCTACACTGTAAAAGTGAAGTATCTATATTGTATCAACATTCTATTCCTGTATTTCTAGAGTACTATATCTCTAGAATCTAAAGCCCGGAGTTTCTACACTTCAGTTTCTGCTAATCCTTATATCTCTAGGATGAAGTAACGCTATATACCTAGACCTCATATTGCATTATTCATATGTCCCAATATTGCAATATATTTAGATTCAGTATTGCAATATCTTTAAATCTCAAGGTCACGATAACCCTAGAATTCATTATCGTAATATATATATATCGTTCTAAATATTGAAATATCCCTAGGCACCGATGTTGCAATATATCTCGTTGTCAATATTCCTAGATCGAAATATCCCTAGACTACGATATTCAAAGATTCCAATATTCTCAGACTCAAGATCGTAATATTTCTAGATCCCAATATCGAAATATCCCCAGATATCAGTATCATGTCAAAATATCCCTAGATCTCAACGTCGAAATATCCCTATATTCCAACGTCAAAATATCCCTGGATCGCAACGTCGAAATATCCATAGATTGTAATGTCAAAATATCCCTAGATCCCCGTGTTCAAATATTCCTAGATCTCAAAGTCGAAATATCCCTAGAACCTCATGTCAAAATAGCCATAGGACCTAATGTCGAAATATCCCTAGATCCTAATGTCGAAATATCCCTAGATTCTAATGTCAAAATATCCCTAGATCTCAATGTTGCAATATCCCTAGAATCCAACGTTGAAATATCCCTAGAATCCAACGTCGAAATATCCTTATATCTCAAAGTCGAAATATCCCTAGAACCCAGTGCCAAATATCCCTAGAACCCATTGTCCCATTATCACCAGGTCCTAGTATAACAATATCCCCAGATCTCGATATTGCAGTATCACTTTAATCCCCAGATTTCAATGTTTCTGCATACATAAGATATCCCTACATTTCTAGATACTTATGTTCCTAGTTGTTTCTTAATTTCTAAGCGGAAAATTGTGAATCAAATGCAGCTTGCTCAACGGATGTTTCAAACTGATATTTCGCCTATAATTATTATTTAACGATGCGGTTGTAAATATATACGTTGGAAACGTCGGTATAATTTCTATCACGAAATAGAAACTGTTTCAAAGAAGTCACGCTCGAATCGTTCAACCTTAAAAAAAATGCGATTTCTACAAAACCTGACGAGTTACCACGAAATCTCCCCCACCAGGACACCATAAATGCACAATGGGACGCATTGTGTGCCTAATAACGGAATCAGCCTCCACCCATTGTTCGAGGAGTATAAAAGCTTTCTGGAAATGCGTGATCTACGAACATACGTTCCTACCATTACAAACTATCATACAAGCATGTACACATGTATGTACGTTATTCTGTACCGAAATAAACCCTGGAAGAACGAGAAGTTTATATACACGTTTGTATTGGAATTCGTTTAATGGAAACTGTTCTCCCGATATTTGGAACGTATCAGGATCGAGTATTAACAGCTAATTTACGAAATCCGTCGAAACAGTGGATTTTACGTTTCTTTCAACTGCAAAACTTCTTTCTAACTGTCAGAATGTATATCGACTTTCGTTGAAACGAAAGATAATTATACAAACAAATTCATGTTTCATTTTGAAGCTGGAAGTAATTAGTCATCGAACGGACGCATTTCTGGCGTTAATAATATACTCGGAAGCATTTTCGTTCATTAAAGGACACCAAATGTCGGGGTGAAAGAAACGTCAGATGTTCTAGGATACGTATTTCGAACTCGTGACTCACGGCCAGGTGTTCCTTTTTCAGGCACCGTGTATCATCGGTGGGGAACGTATTCCTTCAAATTCATGGGGCCCATAAATCATAGATCTTTCGGTTAGTAGCCCTGCAGATTTATCCTACAAGGTATCGACACCTGGAAGGAAACACTACACCCAATTATTTTTTATAGTTTACTGAAATGCTTAAAGAAAATAAATGAGGTATATTCTTTTTTAATCCTTGACTCTTTATTCTATAATTTTTTCAAATTTATATTAACGTATTTTAAAATGTATAACTTGTTACATTAAACTGTAACAAGTTAATGGCGTACATTATTCAAAAATTAATTTTCAATATTTTTATATAAAAATTGCCATCAATTTGTAACAATAAAAATAATAAAATACTATTTAAACATTAAAAGCTAGTATGAAATACGTTGTGCATATTTCATTTGTAAGCCTCAATGATTTAGGAACACTCAGGTAAAAATATGAACAGTTTACTTTCCATAGTAATATCTCTGGAATTATTAAAGCTAGTTTCTTACTGTAAGAAAAAGAGTTATAGCTGAGGCTTTAACGAAGAGATTGATGCACGGCTCATTTCTATACGACAAACCGTTTTAAAGATATTAATGTTTTAATAAAATGTAAAGAATTTGGAATACGACGTTCGAGGTTACGCGTGGCCTCCGCCGGCACGAGGTCGAATTCCAGATCAGCATTTTATTAAAAAATTAATATCTCCGAAACGATTTGATGTGGAGAAATGATCCTGGAAACAATTTTCTCATTAGACCTTGTACTACAATCATTCTCTTTACAGAATTGAGCTAGCTGTAATAGTTACGGAGATGTGCACATGACAAGGTACTTTAACTCTTTAACTGCTGGAGATACGATTAAATATTTAGGAAAACTTACAAAATTTTATTTGACATATTTGTGCAGTAATCAAATTTTAAATGATATATTTTTATTTTCAAGTAAAATTTTGATTATGAAGATTGTAAAATTCAGCAGTGTAATTAATTATTTTATATGAAGTTGCGCAGCCATTTTGAATTCATTAAAGAATTCTGTGTACAAATTTTTTAGGAAACGTTTGTGCGGTTTGTAGAAGCAATTAAAATCGAATTGGGCGCAACACTTTTTCCAGGTATCATACTTAAAAAGGCTGGGCTACGGTCATCATTATGCGACGAATTGTTAAAAAATTCTTACACGGCTACACGTCGTTGCAAACGTAGTCTCCGCAATGTAAATACATTACGAGTTTCGCAGAAAGAGATTATATCTTCGGATAAGATTTGTTCGTTTCCAGTGAAAGTCTTTCAAAAATAAAAGGGGCAAAGTGCAGATATCGGATCTAATATATTTGAGGAGTAATTTGCAAAATGGAGGAGAGAGGGAACGGGCATATTTTGTTAAGAGAAACTCGTATTGTACGACCAGATGGATTCTTACGGATTTATTCTTGGAAATGAACAAGAATAACGTGTCTTAGGTACGCGACTCTCTCTCTCTTTCTCTCCCCACCCTCGGTCTCTCCCGATCTCTGTCCGCCTCCTTTTTCTTTCTCTCTTTTCCCTCTTTTTTCGTCTCTTCCCCTACCAGAATTCTTCATCAATCGTCAGATACGACTATCGCCTTCCTTTCTCTCTCCGGATCTTCGTGAATATTCTTAGACTCGATAATAAAAAAAAAAGTTCGAAAAATAATGAAAAATCTAAATTATGGTTCGCAATATTTTTTTCACCGGCAACACGTGATATCGCCTTCCGCGAAAATTAATTACTAACTGTTTACGGCGATTCATTTTTAGCCGCGATAATTTTCTCCGTTATCTATTCGTTTAATTAGCATCGATGCCGGACGCGTGTTTACGTTCGAACGCAATATTTTGATAGGGTGGTTTGAAAAAAACGATGGCAGTTTTTGGAAAGGTTTTTGTTATTCTAGGAGTGAAACGTTGCCAATGTCGAGTGTCTCATGACCGAGGAGGGAATCGGTCTGGCAGCGACGATCGATTGGCAGCCAAGATCGCATATAAGTGTACGTCGTAGCGTCAAATCGTCGGAATTCGTGACGTTTCGACGAGAGGTCTACGGAAGTACAAACTCGTAAGCGAGAACGATGACGCGATAGCACAGACGAGATCGCACGTAAACCAGTTAAAAGGAATCCATTTTTCCGCGAGGCATGCGTGAACACGGAGCACATGCGCTAGCGACAGATTTAAGCGTTTCACATCAGCAATTCTCTTGCTTTATTTATTTAAAGAATTAAGTCGTCATTGAAACTTCATTCGACTGAAATCTTTTTCTTCTCTTAAATCATATTACAATACTAAAAATACAATAATTTGATACAATAGTTTAGATATTTCATTTCTAATGTAAGTTCATAATTATTACACTGTCGCCATTTTGTTTTCATATTGAACACCAGTTTTTTCAAGTATAGATTTGATGAAAATTAAAGAATTTTTCGTTGGAGGAAACGTTAAAAGTTATACATTTATTTTAGGTTTTAAAGTCTAACTTTTTAATGCACAAGTATGCTTGTAGCTTACGCTACTTCGTTTAATGAATAGACAGGTATAGTCATGTCGACGTACAAGTTAATATTTTAAAAATTTAACTTTCACCGCCTCTGCGTTGTTACACCTTAAGATTATGTAGACGTATAAAGACTACCTTCACGTCCACATTTAAAATTAACTTTCACATCTCTAATAATTTAAAATATGTACATATAAGCAAAATGTGTGTACATGTAAATATATGAGCATCCTTTTTATATTTACAGATAATTAGAAAAAATTTTGAATTATTGTTACAACAAATTATATGTAATTTTTGTGTCAAGTAAACTTAATATTTAAATTGTAATTTAAATTATTTATTTAATGCATTAGTGTGTTTAGTGTATTAATATACTATGTAGATCTACGTAGCTTGTTTCTGTAAATATATTTTTAGCTAATGCTAATAAATTCGAGGAAATTAATCCTCAAAATAGTATCCCCATTCAATCATGATGGCATGTAATTGTTACGACTTGTAGATCAGTATTTTTGCAGCGTAGGCTATGAATTCTATGAATAATCTTCTATGATGTATATGACGAAGTGATGGCTCACCAGCCATATTCGTATACATTCTCTACTTTCTCAATCCATCGAACTATAGAAGAATGACTCCCACCATATTTGATTATCCTTTCGATGTTAAATGCATCTTCGAGAAATATGTACTGGCTAATTCAATTCGCATGCGATTCGCAGAAAATTTCACAAAAAATTTCCAAATTTGCAAATTACTTTATGAAATGAACAAACCTTTTAAGATACATATATTTCCACATCTCAGAATTTCAAATGTAAAAACTCGATATTAAAAAGTTTTTTAGTTTTCTAATTTACAGATTTCTGTATATTTAAATTTTCAATTCTGCAAACCTTAAATTGTTAATAAAAAATTGTATGTACTCAATTTTCTGTGTATTCAAATTCTCAAGGTCTTAATTTTTAAATACTCAAATTTTACTATTTCAAAGCCCTCAATTACCAAACCAAATTTCTAAATTCTGAATTTTCAAATTCACAGATCTTCAAATTTCTAATTCCCAAAATTTCCAAATTCAAAATATTCAATTTCAATTCAATTTTTAATTGTAGATATTCAAATTCTTAAATTTCTAAATCTCCAAGTTCTCAAAATTTCCAAATCTACAAATCCTCAAATCTTCAACTTCCCAAATTGTCAGATCTTCAAATTCCCACTTCCTAAAATTGTCAAACCCTCAAATTTGAGTATCTAAAAATTTATTTAACGCGCAATATAAAATTCTCTCTAAATTCATCTTATGCACGTATCGCACGGTATTCACAGAATAGTGACTTGCAATCGTATTTAAAGCACAACGATGAGATAGTTAATAAGATCGTCATTTATTACATTGAACTCTAATCCGATTACGTCAGACCGAATTCAATTACTTTTTTACCCGACAACCTTTGACATTGCGAAAAAAGTTGTTCATTTTATTGCGTGTCACAGCCATCGCTAGAATAAAGTTCTTGACGCCCCTTGACGAGTCTTCCTCGATTTCCCCTACCACGTGCTGCCAGATCACGTGCTTACTCCCCCCACGTTTCTCTACAAAAACAATTATAGATTCATTCAGTGGTAGCAGCGCCAGTACTGTCTTGACACTCGTGTCGGTGACGTGGTTTCTGTTCGTTCCTTCGTTTCTTTCAATTTTCTTTTATTTTCACAACGTTCTCGAGAGCGATGTGCCTTTACCAACAAAATTGAACGTCAACCGAGTCCCTTTCACTGGAAACTCGTCATTTCCGAAAACTTCCATCGCGGCTTAGACGCTGAATTATTTTTAGAAGTGCTACGAGCTATTTTGAACACAGGAGGTGAAAGTGGAAGTACCATTTCGGAGAAAGTATCGCGGGGGATTTGTTCCCGGTTGTCACCGAATTACGAAAATATTTTGGTAAGCAACGTTCTTGGAAAATCTGACGTTTCGCGCTACTCGGTTTACTTTTTCCGTCCGCTTCGAATTGTTGTCCTTTTCTCTTTTTTTTTAACGGTGCATCTATGAATGTTAAATTCAACTCAGGGTTGCTTTTATCCTACGTGCCGATGATTATTCATGAAACTGTGGTGGACTGGTGTTTTTTAAACGAAAATATATTCTCCTTTCAAATCGATTACGTTTCGAGCGCTAAAAGCTTCCAAGTACTTGTGACGTCATAATAGCAGCAATGAATCATTTAGTGTCTTTTCGTTTCCCTTAATCAGCCTCCTTATAATGAAAAAAGCATTAACGATTTCTCTTGAAACGCCGAGCGATATTGCAGCGTGAAATTCAGTCACGAACAGTATTTATTTGCTCTTTAAACACGTAAAAAAGCCATCAGCTTTTATGCAATATCATCGAATGGAAAGTTGAAACGATGTCAGGCTTGAAAACGGTAATAAAACTCGTGAATATTCGCTAAACATATTAACGTGAAGTTCAGTAAGCGCGATTATGTAAAAAGTAGTGGAAAGAAATTGTCAGAATATAACGCAGCAGAGGGTGGTAACGTTCTAAGTACCAGTAATAACAAAAGTAGAGCTTTCACGGAAGCAGGTTTATTTCTCCGAAGGCTTGTAAAATAAAATTCACGCTTATCTGTAAGAGATAAAATCCGTGTTACCACTAATTCGAGGAACCTCCTCTCATTTATACTCGCTGGAAATCTTGTCGATAACGAGACCAGCTACGGTATCGTTCAGAAACAGCGGCTACATACTCAATTAGTTACGTCCATCAAAATTTCTCACGCTGCTCGTTTCAAATTCTTTGTTCCTATTCGTTTGGTTGTACATGTTTTAATGAAACGTCAGTTTTGTAATTTTTAAAATTGAAAATCTGCAAATTTTGAAGTATAGGAATTTTTTAATTTTGAAAACCAGATTCGGGAAATTAAAAATTTGATGAGTATTCAGATTTTTAGATCTCTATTTAAATATTCAAATTTTCAAATCTACAAGTTTCATGTCCTCAAATTTTTAAGTTTCCAAATCTAAATTTTCAGATGCAAAAATTTTCAAATTCTAAAACTTTATACATTTTTAAAGCTTTCCAAATTCTTAGAGTTCTGAATTCTTACATTTGCAAAATTCTTAAGTTTCCAAATTTCCAAATTTTAAGTTTCATATCCTCAAATTTTTAAGTTTCCAAATCTCTAAATTTTCAGATGCAAAAATTTTCGAATTCTAAAACTTTATACATTTTTAAAGCTTTCCAAATTCCTAGAGTTCTGGATTCTTAAATTTGCAAAATTCTTAAATTTCCAAACTTTCAAATCCACAAGTTTCATGTCCTCAAATTTTCAAATTTCCACATCTCCAAATTTTCAGATGCAATAATTTTCAAATTCCACAACTTTATACATTTCTAAAACTCTCCAAATCTCTAAATTCCTGAATTCTTAAATTTGCAAATTTCCAGATTTCCAAGTTCTTAAATTGCCCAACTTTTAAACATGCAAAGTTCCAAATACCAAAATGTCTCTATCAGTGCATTCCTACATTTGAATACATAAATTTAAATTTATAAATTTTTTAAACTTGTTTACCCCAAAATTTGCATCAATTTCTGTGAAGAGAAGTTAAAAATTAAAAATAAGAGGAAGCTATAAACACTTTTCAAAAGTGTGCTTTTCATTTGCTTTAAATCTGTTTATATGAAATCTAACATCAGTAAATGTGTTGTTACAATTATTCATAATTTTTATGAGAAGCAGCTTCAGTATATTTTGACAATAAAAAACATTTTGATAGGAAACAGTTTCCCTAGAATTTAGTTTTTTATAGCTTTGTTTATTCCCACTCTTCGTTTCTCTATAAATATCTCCATGTTAATATTACTTATCTAACAAAGTAGAATTCAGCAAAAACAACTGATTATTTCTTATTGTTACATTGTGCATCACAGAGTACGCAATATATAATGTATACACTGTATCAGATAGCTCTATGAAATATTTATAGCATCATAAAAGTTTCATTATGTTCATGTTTTAAAAATAAAAGTTTCATTATGTTCATGTTTTAAAAATAACTATATACTTCATCTTTCATTAATTTTTCTAGTTTATTACACTAGAAAAAGCAATAGTTTTCAGTTTTACGTGTCTTTATTTTCTATTTACGCATTTTGTATATGTTCGGCACTTTCCGTCGCTTTTCGAGTGCACACGGAAACGGGCGAAGAATGCCGAATACATCGACGCCGGAATGCAATTTCGCTGTAAGCGCTAAAACTTCAATTTTAAAGTGAAAATAAAGAACATGAACGTAAAATAAAGTTACCTTTCACCACAAAAATGTTAGTATCAAAAAATAAAGACATTGCTACCAATGGTACATCATAAAAGGTGTTTTGGTGTTTATAGCAAAATCTTTTAGCGTCGATATCGAATTTCGTGAAATAAAAGAAACACGTAGAACATATTTGAAACTATTAAAGGGAGTCGATAATATTAATGATGAGAAGAACAAAATTTTTGAAGGAACCTGTAAGCGAAAGGCCGTAGCAGCATCGATGAAGTTGACCAGTAAAATTAGCATTCGCTACGACGAACCGTATTTCGCCTGGCGCACAGGTCATCAGCCCAGTTCGTCGTTTTCCGAGAAGACGAATTTCTAGCCCAGACCCCTCGATACAGGGTAGACCCCTAAACCCTTCTCTCAATTTATGATGCTTTCGAACCACTTTATGACTTCGACCATGCATCGTAAAACTCGTTCGTTGCTTTTTCTTCGCCGAATTTATGCACTCCATTCCACTGTTAAGCCTTATAAAATTCTTAATCGTTTATTGGTTCTCTTTATTAATTTACCTGATCCCTTTACACCGGAGCTATTTCTTTGTTTCGTCCTCATTAACAAACATATCCCGTTTTCTCTTAATTTTTTTTTTTTTTTTTAATTAAATTATTGCAACGCGAATGAGGTTCTTTTTCAAACGTTTCATGATTTGTTTGTATGTTTTTAAATATGTTTATTTAAGGGAAAACCGTGTGAGGAGCGTATTCTTTTTAAATATTTCTTTCTAATTTTCAAGTCCCCCGCCGGGGTCTTGTTCCGTTTCCTCAAATAAAACTACGACGTCCAATTCCGCGAAGTCCTCTTTGCTCGAAAAAAGATTTTTCTCTCTCTCGCTCCTCTTGCTGTTTCCACTCCCCTTAACATTCCAACGGCAGGAGAGAACAGATGGTCGGGGAAGGATAAAGACGAGAGAGAAAACGGTGAAATATAATAAAAATTAATTGATCGATTCCTTTTAAGTTGTAGACATTTTTTTGTAATCGCGTGTTTATCGTTAAGAATTCTGTATTTCAATATAACATCGATATCACGAACGCGTCACCAATTGACGACTATTATTTCAGAGAAGTCTCGATAACAAAGGTGGCTTGCGTCACGAAACGAAGCAATTTCTTATTCGATTACTCTTCGTGTTTCTATTTGACGATGTCGTGATTTGTAACTATGAGAAATATTTAATCTCGTGGAATTTAATGTTCGTATCGATGTAGATCAATGATAGGAAATTGCGTTCCCGAGTAGTACATTCATTGAGCAATATAGTTCTTGGGGTCAAATTTTAACATTCTTTTATTTCAAATTTTACACTCTTAACTTTGAAATGTTTTATTTTTGTATTTTGCAATTTTGAAATTTGGAATTTAGAATTTTGGTGTTTTGCAATTTTCGAATTTGGAATTTTTTAATTTTTGAATTTTTAAAACTTGGAATTTTTTAATTTTTGAATTTTTGAAACTTGGAATTTGAAATTTTTGTACCTTGAAATTTTGTACTTTGAAATTTGGAATTTTTACATTTTGCAATTTGAAATTTTTGTATTTTGAAATTATGTACTTTGAAATTTGGAATTTTTGTATTTTTAAATTTTGTACTTTGAAATTTAGAATTTTTGTATTTTGAAATTTGCAATTTTTGTATTTTGGAATTCTGTACTTTGAAATTTGAATTTTGGAATTTTTGTAGTTTGAAATTTTATACTTCAAAATTTGGAATATTTGCATTTTGAAATTTGGAATTTTTGTATTTTGAAATTTGGAATTTTTGCATTTTAAAATTTTGTACTTCGAAATCTTCAATTTTTGTATTTTGGAATTTTTAAATTTTCGAATTTCCAAAAATCCCAAGTTAGTAAATTTAAATTTTCGCGCTTCGACATTTTCAAATCTTCAAATTCCAAAATTCATAAATCTTCAAAGCTCATCTTGAAAAATTCCCAAATTATAAAATCTTGATTTTAAAATTTTTAAATCCCCTAATTTTCAAATTCCGAAATTTCTATATTTATAAAAAAAAAAAAATAGAAATCTCCATATATTTTGAGCCGCTCAGTACAGTAAATTACCCATGAGCGCTTGAACGAGCACCTGAAGCCCATCGCTCGACATAATAAACCTACTCATTAAAAATTTCCTAAAACGATGAACACAGTATTTCTTTTTATTCGCTTCACTTAATTCCTTCGATACAAAGAATATACAAGGCAAACATGTACACATACACTGTTGCAGCTCCAACTTAAAATGATCCCCTTGTTTAAATTTTCATCGAACTACAACCTTAATTGTAGATTGTTAACGTTGCTCGTTTTCGTTTCACGGTAATTTATATCCATCGCTAACGAGAATCAGAAGGATGAGAATACGTCGAATATCTTTTGGTGGAAACGATTATGGGGTTCCGGATAATACCAATTCGTCGATGACGCGACGTGAAATCGTTTCTCGAAATCGGCACTGCCAGTCGTTCCTTTTATTCGGGACGATGTATGTATATATGTATGTTTATCGTAACTGCAGTTTTGTGAATCGTAACACAATTCAATAGAATATCGATACGAGAAAACGATCGATTTTTTTCTTCTTTTTCGTGGGTGTTTACGAAGTTCGACGAAATACGTGTATTTTTAACGTAGCGTTGGATAACCGACTATTACTGTATGAAAAGAACGATTAAATGCAAGTTGTACATTATAAAGCATTTCGCTTGAACTTGGTTTTTGTCGTTTCAGTTTTAATTACCTTCTAAATTGACCTTAATATATGTAGACGTTTACGTTGTTTTGAACCGTACGGTTATTGGCGGGCTTTTTAAAATCGCAAACTTGGAATTCTATCTTTACACGTTACAATGACAGTTTTGCGTAAAACCTTTGTGTATACAAATTTGTATGATTATATTAGTAGGTATACTTTATGTATCTTTCTAAGAATGTCGTTTTAGTTATGAAACACAAATCAATTGATAGTCCCGTTAGATTATGCACGCAACCTCGTACTTTTTAAATGGATCCGTGCAGCACATTTTCCTTATTTCCAACAATTATATATCGTTGCGTGTACATTTAAAAATTTGATTACCGATAAAAATTAGAAACGGATAAAACCTAGTTACGTAAGAAATTAGATCATGTATATTTCTTACAAAAAAATGTTCCGGGAGAGGTTAACGAACAAGTTGTAATGTTTGCAAGTCGAATCGATAACGCCGTGGCGCGTGTTTTTTATCGGCGTTACGTGCACGTGTTTCGTGTTACGCGTGTACACGGCAAATATTTGGAAAAAGCTCCGAACGCGATTAATATATAGAGAAAACCGGTAAGTATGGTAGTGGGGACTGTGAGTTTAGTTGCAACGTGTGAGAAGTGGGGAAAGAGTGAGATAGGGAGCGGTGAGGAGTTAGAGAGGACAAGAACAACTTCTAAATGGGGGCTTGGCCTTCTAACGTTGCGACACGTTCGTGGAAAAGCGGCTCTGCGCCGCTTTACTAACACTCGGACATCTCTCTGCCACGTGGCCCATTAAAACACAATGGAAAAAGAAGGCAGCTGCGGTACGCGCGAACGATGTCGAAAGATGCGTCTCTATTCCTGTCGGGATTCACGGCAAAATGCAACCAGGCCCAACACCTGGTCTTAAAACTCCACCAATCGGAAATTCGATTCAGGCCTGCCAGTTTCTTTTTCGAAGCCCAAACATCCGAATGTTTGGTGTTCAGTTTATTTCTTTCCTTGCAAATTACCCGTTGACTTATTTCTTAAAAGAAATATGTTGTTTTGTAACTGAATGCTCATTATAATTCATAGGTATTCTTTCCGGGAATGCATATATTTAATGGCAAAAAAGTACACTATGCGATATGATGACATACGGAATGTTAAGGCTCATATGAATTATAAATGCTAAGTACTGCTAATAAATGATTTCAAATGAAATTCTTCGGTAAGAATAAATTAGAATCAGTTTGTTCCAATAGTGTTAAATTACAGTAACAGAAGGTATGGAAAGAAAAATATTAATGTACAGCTTTTGGGAGATTTAAATAGCTTCCCCTATGGGGTTAAATATACAGTTGAAGGGGTTCAACTGTATATAGGGGCCTCAACATGTGGTGTTTGTATTAGAGTTAATAATACCGTTTTTCTTTCCATTTTTTATTATGTAGTCGTACCATTATTAGGAGTAATTGAAGTAGTAAGTGGACCGAGGTTGCAGTACAACGTCATGAATAGGTTTGGTTAGATTAGGTGAGGTTAGGTTCTATTTCTAGATTCAATTTCTCTAGACATATTTTCCTATAATTCTTCTAACTTCCCTAAATTTTTGGTATTGTTAATTATTTATATTGTAACTCTATGTTCCTAGATTTCTATTTCCCTAGATCCATATATCTCAAGATTTATTTTCCCCTAGATATCTATCTTCCTAGATCCATATATCTCTAGATCTCTATGTCCCTTGAATTATTTTCCCCTAATTTTCTATCTTCCTAGATCTCTATGTCCCTAGATCCATACGTTCCTAGAGTTATTTCCCCCAGATTTCTATCTTTCTAGATCCATATATCCCTAGATCTCTATGTCCCTAGATCCATACGTTCCTAGAGTTATTTTCTCCTAGACCTCGACACCCCTAGATCCATATGTCCCCAGATTTATTTTCCTCTAGATCTCGATGTCCCTAGATTTATTTTCACCTAAATCTTGATGTCCCTAGATTTCTATCTCCCTAGATCCGTTATCCCTAAATCTCTATGTCCCTGGATTTATTTTTCCTTAGATCTCATGTCCCTACATTTATTTTCCCCAAATTCTCGATGTCCCTAGATTTCTATCTCCCTAGATCTCTATGTCCCTAGATCCCTATAACGTTAAATCTTTATTTTCCTATATTCCTAAATCCTTCCTGTATTTCTCGATACGATTATATCATTAGAATATCGATAACAATAGGACTATATATCACCCGACACGTTTGGCTAGGTTTATTTAAATTTATCTTCCTGGCAAGGTTAACGGACTCTCGTGTCAATGAGTAACGATCATGTGATATTCATGAGAACTGCAATTCTCTTTAACAAATTCTTTTTCTAACCTTTACAGGAATCTTGTTACATTGTGCCGTGTTTCGTAATGTCTGCGTTACACGAACATGTCAGTTATTGGAACGGCAGAGGAAATGGTTATATGCATCCGTTGCATTTTTACAACCGGCGTAGAAATTGAACGATGGGGTATTTCACGAGGAAAAGTTTCATTTAGATATTATCGTATTCGTTGCGACAGGATTGGTTACCTGAACCGAAACGTTTTTACGCGGTTCCTATAAGGTTTCGCAAATTAGTCACATTTTGAAGAAAATGGAAATATCGATTTCTACGGAGCTCCTTTGTGTACCGCGTAACGCATGATTGTTTTGTTTTATTTGTTTTGTTCGTTGATCAACCTTGCGAGAACACGAATTGAACGCGACGCACGTCGTTCTTAGAATAAGAAGCAGCTGCATAAAGCGCACGGTTATAAAATAAGCCGACGGTGATGATGGAAAGAAATAATAAGATCGTGAGACGAATACGAGCAAAGCCGAGGGAAAAAATCATTTTTATTTCGATTCATGGAACACATCGACGTTTAACGACGTTGTTATGCTATAAATTAAAAGATAAACAAATTAAACGATATAACTTTTTGCATGTGATTTTGAATTCGAAACGAATTTTCGAAATTTAATGTGGTTGAATTTTATGTCGATGCTGAAAGCAAAACTATATAGAGCTGTTAGTATTTTTAGTCGAAACAGAATTCCATGGAAAATGGCTTACGCAATGCGGTCAATTACGTAAATTATGCCAGTCATTTATAAATAATCACGTGTAACGAGTAATTGAAATCAGAATTCTTGTACCATTTTATAACCATGGATTAAATACTTGCTAGAAATATCTGTGATATCATTATTAACTCTTTCGTTCTTAAATTATACGATATATAAATGATGGAGATGATTTCAACATTTTCAAGGAGTTTAATGAGGTTTCACTTCATTGCCATTCGTTTAAAGTGGAAAGTAACGTAACTAATTGACACAGTTTCCAAGATTTTTAATGTATGTGAATATTCAACGCAAACTTAGTAGCGTATCTAGCTTCGAGCAAATGGGGCACTTAACGTTCCTCAATTAAATTTTTTAATTTTCAGATTTAAAAGTTTCGATGTTTTTAAATACTTCAAATTTCTCAAGTTTCTAAATTCCGAACTTTACAAATTAAAAATTAAACACTTTAGAAATTTGAAAATTTATAAATCTGCAATTTAATTCTGTCTACATTTCAGTCCCAGACCTAGGTCCACATCCAGTCCATATCCAACTTACTGATCTACTTCATATCTCTGAAAATACCTGACACAAAACATTTTTCCATTAAGAATATTTCCTTGAATAAATTTGCAAGTGAACTAATTGCGTGTTATCTTTTTCCAGATACAACGGGTTATGCTGAAAATAAAGAATCTCCGTGCAAGATGTTGACAGTTATGTGTCCGAACTGTCGTCACCGGTTTCCCGCGCCAGGTTGTTGCGAGCCTCAAAAGATGGACGGAGACAATGCGTTGATTCATCCGGCGACCTGTTATTATGGTGGTCTGTTGGTTCCCAAGGGCTACACCAGCGGCGGTGGTTGTTTCATAAATGCCCCGACTATCATCCACAGTCAACCCATCATTAATTCTTTCAACTATCCGTCAAAGGCCCTCGACTTGGAAAAGGCAAGAATCGAGAAGCAGAGAGAAAGCTTTCTTCAGACGTCGAAACGGGATGCTCCGATACTTGGGTTCCCGTTGATAAACGAAGAGAAGAACGAAGACTCCGGTTATCAGATCGCGACGAGTTGCGATTTGACCGGAGGAAACGTGACGATAACAACTCCGAGTATACAGTCTGGAGGCTGCTTGATTCAGAGCACAGATTCTGGGATCCACATGCAGATACCGCACATGGAAATCCGTCCAAAATTATCTGGCGGTGGATGCTTCGTGCAGAAGACGTTGTCGACGGAGAATCAGGAATCCTCGATTATACTTCCAGAGCAGAGAAATCAACGACAAAATGTCAATTGTAACGAGAGGATGTTCCTGCTGCCCCCGAGCGGGTGTCAAGAGTTACCTGGAACTCGGAGAAACATCCTGTCGCAGAAAACGGAAGAGAAGCACTCGACAGGAAACTTCGTAGAAACAAATTGCACGGAGAAGCCACCGTCTTCGAATTTTCAAGTGACCGGTGTGCCAGTGCACTTCCAGCAGCCCAAAAGCCCCAAGAAAAACGAGCAAGAGTCCGGCCAAGGAGCTACCTGTAATTGCTGTTGCAACAACGTTCAGAATCTGTATCGCGTCAAATCGAAGAGTCAGCCGGTCTCCGAGAACCATAACTCCATGGTTCTGGATTCCAATTCGGTTCAAATCCAAGTGAACGCGACCGTACAGCTCCCTGCAAGCTTAGGACAGTGTACGGTGAACATAACCGCGACCACCACGAATCCTCCTGATTCCTTATCGAACATAACTTCGAAGACTAGAAATAATTTTAACGGTGGAGGTCTGGTGCAGGAAAACGAAGCTCGGAACAATCAAGAGAACTTCGAAGAGAGAAGAGACAGGACTCCGACCACACCGGTGTCCTGGTTGATGCCGTGTCCTTGGAGCTTCGACAGCTACTCGATGGACAGGGACGCGGCTAAGCTCTGCGAGGTTAAGAGACTTTTACAGATATGTGGTTGGTACCACGAAGGCCTGAGTTGGCAGCAAAGTGAAAATTTGTTGAAGAATGCTCCGGTTGGCCGATGGTTGATGAGGGATAGCTCGGACAGCAGATACATGTTCGCCGTGTCTGTGCAGACCGCTAGAGGACCCACCTCCGTTAGAGTTCACTATTTTATGGGCCAATTTCGACTGGACGCTGAACCCAGGCTCGCTTTCGCGATACCTCTCTTTGATTGTCCAATTAAAATGCTGGAATATTATGTGGAATATTCGAAAAGCGTCGATGAACATAGGAAGGAGGTCTGGGTCGATTACAGTGGACAACTTTACAGTGAAATTTATTTGACGAAACCGTTGGTCAAAGAGGTTATGTCCCTTAGTCATCTAGCCAGGCTAGTTGTTAATAGGCATAAATTACCGACCGATCACTTGCCGCCGTTAATTAAAAATTATCTGGCAGAATATCCGTACAGTCTTTGAAAGACGATATTGGTTATTTTCTGATTTCTGACATTTGTTATTGGTACTTTGCAAAAGTTCGACTGTTTATTTCGATTTATTGGCAAAACTAGCAAAATACTTTTACACGAATATGTATACTGTAAGAGCGAAATATGTATGTGTGTGTATGTGTGTGCTATATCGAGAAGTATATTCCTAAATTGCTATGTCCCCAGGTACCTATATCTGTTAGGTACCTATACCTTTAAACACCCAAAATCTCTGGATACCTATGTATTTAGGTACTTGACCTGGGGATTAGATTCCTAGGTGTCTAGATCCTTAGGTACCTACTCGATTAGGTATCTATCTCTGGATAGTTATATCTTTAGGTTCCTATATTTCTAAGTACGTAGATCCTTAGGTATCCTTTGCTATTTTCCTAGGTACCTGCATCCTCATGTTCCTAGATCTCCAGGTACTTTGATCCTTAAGTATCTAGGTTCCTAGATCCTTAAGTATTTAAATCCTCAAGTACTTAGATCTCTAGGAACCTTATGTACCTAGATGTCTACATTATACTGTATCCCTGCATCTCTACAACGCTAAATCTCCGTATTCCTATATTTCTATGTCTCTGTGTCCTCTATACCTCTGCATCCCTAGATCTTTATATCACTAGTTAAAAGTAACGTTGAAAGTATATCGTATTTTAGTAAAAATTCAATATTTGTACCGATAGCCGGAAATCAGAAATGTCTAAGAATCTTTATTTTTATACGTTTAAAGGTAATTTGTATCCGAACGTATTTATAGCGAAATACGAAGTGTAAAGTCTAAATGTAAAAGCTGTACTTTCGTGGAATCGATGGACAATTAGAAAATGGCTCTCGAGACCGTGCTATAAAAAGTATGTGAACTTTAGTCGTTAGGATAATCAACGGTTTTAAAAGTAAAACGAAAGCGTATGGGTGTGTGTCTTTTTTTTTAATAGTCAACGAAGCATAATATTAAAGGAAATCGCTTGACCGAGTTTCCGTTTTGCGTTGGAAAGTTTCTTTGAACAAGGTACCATTTACATACCTTGCTTCAAGCAGTCAAAATTCTTTTTTTGTTGATCCTTCAAGAAATTTCTTGTTTTAGTTAACTAGTATACGGTGATTATTTTATTACATTGACCCACAGAAATGTCCACAAATTTATAGACAAAAAGATAGCGTTGTAAATTATGTTTGTTTATTTAAAAATTGGTTAAGTTAAATTTTTTGTAAGTGGGATGTGATAAATTTTTACCTTGTACAGTTACATCCTGTAATTTTACAAGGTAAAGATAGACACTTGATTGGTATGGTGGTCAATTAAAATATGAGCCCATGTAAAACTTCGTAAAAATTTGTAGAAATTTGCAGGCAACGAATAATACTTATTTTATTTAAACATTGGGTAAATTACATTTTCCTAAAAATTAAAAATTGCTGGGGTCTGATAGACACTATCATATTAGTCAAGTGTTAATACTCGATACCGGTTGCAACTTTTCACGAGAAATTTCTTCGAACATTCAATTGTAAATAAATAGACTAGTTGAACAAATAATCTTTTAGAGTTACAATCAAAATTACAGTCTGCAGAATGTGAGGAAGTACTCCTCATGGAACTCGGTCGGATCTGATATTCTAAAACAGTGATTGGCAGTAGTATATACATAAAATTGCTAATTATTGCTGTAAAATTATTTAAGAATAGCGAATGAATGATATTAAATCGGCTTCGATGAAGAAATCGTAAGGCAGTATTAGAATTGATGAAAGCGTCGATTTGACTCTTCGTTTTCTGGTAAAGATAACTCGTGAACTAGTAAACTTTTAGTGTATAGTTACTTACAATATACAAACTTTACATAATTCATAAGGTGCCTGCTGAATCAAACGAGTCAACATTTTTTTAAAATATTTGACAAGCTTAAGTGCGTGTATCTCATGTAATACATTGAAATGAACAGTATGTATCTAAAAGAAAAATGACACGACTCTTCAGATAAATATATCTGATAATCATACCTTGCGTAAAAGCGATTAATTATCCGGCGATGCTTGAAACGAAGAGTTAAAAGTAAAAACACGAAACGTTAAATTAATGTAAATTTTTGTTTGTCAACGAGTTGATGCAGATACGTGCGACAGCGTGAAAGATGACTTCAGATTTATGAATGCGTGAAATGTATAACATTGCGTAAAACACACTACGACCGATGTATTTTTCTAAGCGAGAATTGGCGGCCTTTTCGAAGTCACCATTTTCTAAAGTTAGATCCTATATGTTTCGATACATGGAATGTATCCGGAAACTGTGCCTCTAAATAATTCGACGGAACTAAATGGCGCTGCATTTTTCTGTAGAATTAACCGCTTACTTGATCGGGACGTCCCGTATAAATTAATATAGGATCTTTTGTTTATTGTCTCTATATTAGAGACGACATTTTCAACTATCGACGTACCTACCCTTCGTATTCCTTTAACCCCTTTGACTCAATGTTTCACGCGACAAGTTATGTTAAAATAAAATTGTCATTACTTTTAATTTATGTAGAATGTGTGTGTTTGTACGATATATCAGTGATGAGCAACTTTGTCTACAAGATTGCAATGGTAAATGAGTAGATTCGCTTTATTGCCACAAACGAGATTACAGTGGCAATTCTTGGAATTGATATAAGAGATCTTTACATACAGTATTTGAATGCTTGTAAATATTAACATTTTTATTTTTAAGAACTAAATTCTTAAATCAGAGAAATTGTGATTTTACAAATTTGTGAATCTGAAAATTTTCAGTTAATCTGCTCATCACTGTGATATCAACATTAAGTCGAAAGGGTTAACGAGAAAGAATGTAATACGAGAATAATTATCTCTCTCGTATCGATTATAAGTCACACTTATTTTAACATGCCATCGAATATTCGATAATTTAACATAGTTAATTAAATGCAGTTACAAGTGTGTAACTTAAAGTCCTGTAGTTGATTTCATTTAGGTATTATTACTTGACAAATGCTATACCGTATGATTTTTGTGTTATGTCGTAGCTGGATTGCGAAGGGTTTGTTAATTTCTCGTTCTAAAAGTCAAAAGAAAAGTATGTTGTTGGAAACTGCCACTCAGCGAATCCTACTATATGTTTTATATTGCGATTATAACAATGTATAGTGTGACACGAGTTAAGTTATTAAATAATTATTTATTACCAAGAAACGACGATTGGTGAAACCTTATTTCCACTTATTAATGATAACCCAATTGTCTCATTAGTTAGTATAAAATTTACTTTCAAATTCTACACTTTAATTTCGTTAATTTCCTTCATAAATTTTTTGTAGCAAAATATTTAAAAAAATGATGTAAATAATTATTTGATATTTTAAGTTTATAAAATGCGTTGTAATCAAATATAACAACATTTAAAATTTGAAATTAGTTCAAAAGACAACCTCGCGGTTAAATTATAAACGGTCATACATTTCTAGGCGTTCCTAAACTTATCGCAATTGTTTGAATCGCGATTAATTTATTGCAGTAAACGAAACAATCATTGAGAGAATAATGCACGTATAACAAGAGAAGTTTGAACACATGGTTCTGTAATTGCGATTTAGCCAATCAATCTTCCTATTGATCAATATTAAACTGAACGATTTTTAGAACGCTTTCAGCACAGTTACGCCAAGTTCTTTTTCCTTGTCATTTCCATTCCCGTTGTGTTTTCGGTATCAGTTTACTGATAACCTCAGTGATGCTTAGTAATGATATTGTTCCGATCAGCTGCAAACATTTTCGTTAAAAGATCAGACAAAAAAAGAAGTTCCATGGGAGCGTTATAGGATTATCACGAGAAATTTGAGTAACGAAATAGAGGGGACCAACTTCGGAAAAGATCAACGATGTCAAGCAGCATGTTATCGAGCCTCTCGGAGACTTTAAATGCATCCGAGGCCGCGATTCGTCTTCTTATCTCCATTTTACTTGGTAAATGATATTTTTTATAGAGACATTGCCTCCTTTCGTTGTCTCCAGCCTCGTAAATAGTGATTGTTGTTCTATTGAAAACGAACGATTGTTCCGTTAACCTATAACTGTTTCCTTTTCTTTTACATAATCACTAGTTGCGTAATTAACCTCTTCAAATTTTCTTATGCATTCGATTACTGTGTACATTCGTGATTGCCCGAATCCTCATTGTATGTCTTCATGAATCAAAACAAAATTCAACACGCTATTATAAAATCTTTTGGGAAAGGTTATGAACTCCACTTTTGCGCATGCGCATACGATATTTCTATCGCATCGTGTACGAATCTCGTTTCAACAATAACAAAATCGTCATATGTATTGTTATGAAAATTATTATACTTTATATGACAAAAACGCTATACAAACCACAGATAATTAATATACTGTCAATATTTTGATGTTTCCAATGCTTATTTACGATATTGAAATATTCTCTTTATTGTTCTGACAATATGTACATATTGATCGTGAATTCGTAAATTTTAAAATATGGGAATCAGAAATTTAAGAATTCAAAAATTGAAAATTGAAAATTTTTGAGTTTTTGGAATGTACGAGTTTGAGATAGGAAAATTTAAAATTAAAAAATTTGGGAATTTAAAGACTTGGAAATTCGGGAACGAAATTTTGACACTTGAAAATTAGAGGTTTGAAAAGATAAGTTTTTGGAACGTAAGAACTTAAAAATTTCGAATCACAAGAAGTTGAGAATATGAAAATGTATCGTCGAAGGTTTCCATTACTGAAACGATAACGATTGCAGGAATAATGCCAAATAATAAACCTTGCTGCTGTTTCTCGCTAATATTACGTTTACCTTGAATCTAAGTCGTTTAAATCTACGACTTTATTTATGTTTTTTTTTTATCTCTGATATCCATATTCACACATTAGGTTGTGTAATACCTTTTGAGAATATATTTTTCTTAACATTCTTTTGCAACAATGCTAATGTTTTTAATTGACTTAATGTAAAAAAACATAATTGAATTTTCAGGTTTACCTATTGCCCTTGTTCACAGACATACATTATACGGAAAAAGTCCGATTCTTCAACACTTATATTTTTCATTCGTTGGCCTTTTAATTTGCTACTGGAATTATGGTAATTATGTGCATTTAATCTGCTTATAAAAATATTTATAGCGGATTTAATTTCCGACGTTTATATCTCTTTATAATGATTTTTTTTTTAACAAAAATATTAATCCTAAATAAATATTATTTTCAGAATTCAGCACGATACATTCGGCAACCTCGTTATGTATCACTTATCTCATCTTGAAAATTTTTGAAGGTTCTTTCTTATCGGTTTTAATTACTTTCGTCTTCAACATGTCTTATCTCCTGTATGGTATGAACGCAATTACTACTAGCGCGCCAATATTAGCGTATATTCAAATCACTCTATGAATATTGAATAAGAGTATTCAAACAGTTTTTAGTAGCTTTGGAATGCTGTTATATAACGTGAATTATTCGGTGGTTTACCGAGAATTACTAATCCGGAATTTTATATAACATAGGTAGTAATAATTTTATAAAATTATAAAAGAATTTATAATATTCTGTTTTTTCGTTTGCAGGATATTTCATGACGAGTACGGATGATTACGATATAAAATGGACTATGCCACAATGCGTATTGACATTGCGATTAATTGGCCTAGCGTTCAATTTGCTCGATGGTAAAAGCCCAGAAGTACGTAAAAAAAAAAAATACCTTACATATTCGCTACCAGCACTTAAATAATGTGATCTGTTTTAAGAAAAAAATTTATAGGATTCTAAGACAATGTATATGTGAGCCTGGTAGCGAATGTGTTAATCAACAAAATACAAAATTTTAGTTTTTATTAAATGAAAATATTTGCAGGGAAAGTTATCTGCGTCTCAGAAACAGGTAGCCTTGAAAGAGCAACCTTCGTTTCTAGAGGTTGCAGCATTTATATATTTTCCTGGGTCGTTTCTTGTTGGGCCACAATTTAGTATGAAAAGGTACTTAGACTTCGTAAACGGTCGTCTCATCGATGACGTAAGTTAACATGTTAATCGACAATGTCATATCTAGAATCTTGATTCATTAATCTTAATCCATCAACGATATCTGACATTTTCTGAAATGTTTAAAATAATATTTAAAGATATTTAAAATGCTAGTTTTTAATAAAATATGTAACTAAATATTGCTACATAACTTTGAATTAGTTAAAAGTCATTCAAGAGTTAAAAATTAAATAACATTACCGATTCTACATAAATAAAATAATGTATAACGACTGAAAAAATAATTTATGCATTTCATATTTTTAGAGCGTAACAGAAGGCGACATTAAATTACCAGACTGCGTGGTACCTGGTATTCGTCGAATACTCTTTGGATTTGTATACGTGATATTGTACCAATTAGGGACTCTGTATATTCCCGATCAGTACATGCTAAGTGCGGAGTTCGAGAAACACAGCTTCCTGAAACGTCTTTTCTTGATTGGCTTTTGGGGACATATTAATCTTTATAAATACATTTGTTGCTGGTTGTTCACCGAAGGGGTAAGAATTTATTATAAGAAACTAAAATTAATAAAGCTAGATATACTAATAAAATTATTATTTTAGGTTTGCACAACATTTGGACTGACTTACAATGGTAAAGACAAAAAAAATCGACCTATTTGGGATGGCTGTGAAAATGTGAAGTTGTTAACCTTCGAAACGGCAACCAGATTTAATCATTATATCATGTCGTTTAACATAAATACCAATCATTGGTGCGCGGAGTACATATACAAAAGGTTGAAATTTATGGGGTCTAAAATCTATAGCCAGTTCTTCACGTTGGTCTTCCTTGCTGTGTGGCATGGGTTCCATTCAGGATATTATGTGTGTTTCTTCATGGAATTCATTATCATGTATGCTGAGAGAGACGTAAGTATCACATACTTTAACACATTTAAAAATAAATAGTTTGTATGATTTCTTGATACGTTGACTGGTGTGTCATGATGCATTTTCATAGAAATCCATTATTCATATTATTAGGAAATCTTTTATTTATATAGTTAAAAATATTGATATAGTGTTACTTAATAGAAATAGTAAAATATGATAAAGACAAGGCCTTCAAATGTAAGTATGGTCCTCTAAAATTGAAAATAGTCGATGTAGCTCCCTCCTAATTATTGTTGCAGCTTACATTGCGTCTTACACGACTTAACATTTTTATTCTGGATTCTTTTAGTTAACTCAGATATTAGAGAAACAGGAGAAGCTACAGGATTTGATGAAGAATCATCTGGAACTTCGTATTGCTTTTTGGATTTTTACCAAAATCTACACGGATCTTTTTATGGGTTACAGTCTCGTTCCATTCATCCTCTTATCATATTCTCGTTACCATCAACTTTATTCTTCCGTTTATTACTGTGGCCACATAATATACTTGTCGTATCCCTTCCTGTCCATACTACTAAAGAAGTTTCTGATTAAAAAACGTCCGAGAAAGGTTGAATAATGTGCGACAGTAAATTAATTTAACGTAAGCTTAGCGGTGATCGTCTTTCGAAGATAAATGCAGAAATTTCCAGAAAAAAGAACAATAATAGACAACTTAACTTTGTAAATATGATCATAGGTTGCAAAGAAGGGGTAAGAAATGCTTTCAAACTACACATTTTTAACGGATGGAAAATATTAGATTATAGGATTATAGAGAAATTTGTCATTTGCGTACAAAATGGGGAATATTTTGTTACTAGCTCTTGCCGTCAAAAATGATCGTCTTAATTAACTTATTAACGCTTGTAAGCGCATTCTAGAGATTTCTTCTTGTCGGAAGAACTTCTGGAAGATCATTTTTTCTATGAAAAGGTGCTCAGGATTTTTTCTTTTCGGTTTAAACGCGGTTTAGCCAGTTAAGTAGATTCCCAAACTATTTTTTAGCGATCGTAGAGAATTAAATGATTAAATTATAAAAAGCGCAATGGCGGCTGTGCAAACTAGTCAAAGGACAAATCGTAACGATTTCAAGGATTTGAACAAAATTCGCGAATCGAGGCTTTCCCTTCGAACAAATAACAGTCACCGTTGCACACGTTTGTAATTACATCGCTATACGATTTTACATATTCGATCACTGATCGAACGTTTAGTAAGAATCTCTATTTTTCATACAATTTCCTTTAAGTGTATTTACAGAGCTAACAGCATTTATAAGGCGATCAACTTAGAATATTCGTTAATTGAATTCTTTTACACACAGTTGAATAGTGTAGACTTAAATTTGACTATGAGTGAGACGGGGAAAGACAACGTATGAATGAATGAATGATAAAAGAGTTTTATCTAATCAGTTCCATTCAGAAAGTCTAGCACAAGGTATTTAAGAAATTCTTAAGTTGAAAGTATCGCGCAAAATATTTTTGCAAATTATTCAGAAACGCAACAATTTTTTTTGCAAAAAGCTATGTTTATTGTAAAGTATTTTAAATAACTTTTTATAGAGGCGAAACGTACATATCGGGGATTCTATCATCGTAACTAACCCCCTGTGTTGAAAAATTATTTTCGATATATATTTGTATACATATATTCTGATATTATAACCCCAAAATTCTATACCAAATTAAAAAAAAATTCTTCTGTATCTTTTAATCGTTCTTCTTTTCTTGTTTTCGAAAAATTGACTTTTGTACTATTTTATTCGTTATCAATATACGTTTGATAGTGTTAGCTGGTTGTATATTATGGTGCCAATTTGAATTTGAAAATTGCTGAATTTGGTGCTATAGAAGTTGCACAGGATAGTACTTATGACATATCAATTTTAGTCTACCAAAAATTTTGTGAACTTCCCAGAATGATTTTTAATACGAATTGATCATTATATATGCAACTATATGGTGATAGCAACTATTTTGTTTGGTGCAGAGATTTTAGCTTTAGTTTGTCAATTAAAAATCCGGTGGTTTGGAAATGTGTAAATTTGGGAATGTGGTGATTTGAAAGTTTGATATTTTGAAAGTAGGTGCTAGATTGTTAAATGTTAGACAATCCTTGTTAAACATTTCCGCATATTTTTTTAACCAGGAGGAAGAAATACACAGAGAATTTTACAAAAGTACAAATAGTTTTATTAAAATATAAATTCATTTATTACAATTATTTCTAATCTAACATATCGAACAAATTCTTTAGTCGAACGTCTATGTGGTACAATTTTTTGCACAAGATGTAATACCACATCTTCGGTAATCTATGGATTTACAGTGATAAATACTCAAAATGTCTAAATCTACGGAACGGTAAATCTACAAATATCGGTAGTAGTAATCCGTATCACGGATCGGTCTCCAAAACCTCCTAGACGATTTTCCCAAACAATATCCCTGTAATTAGAGATTCGAGTGTTTCATTCGCGACAAATATCGCTCGCGATTAAAGCGTTTTAATAGGGCCCTCCTGAACTTGACGGTGGTGCACCGTAGTTGTCTGACGGTGGTGCTTGCGGAGGTCCATATTCCGCGCTCTGTGCTTCTTTCTGTACAATAAACAATTTAACGTTAGTTTTGTTTGTTAAAATGCGAATTCTTAAGGTGGTTGTATCATGTGTCTCGAAATTTCATTAAAATACAAAGATGTAAATATCTGAGTGATATTTCAGAAAGATTCACTGTACCAGATTGGAGATTTGCATTTAACATTTGCATTCTACAGTGTAGACAAAGCTAGATGTTCCTTTCTTGCTAGATGTTCATTTTAGACTGCATTTGGTTTTTTGGACTTTTTTTTAAATATGCAGTTGTTCGTTATAACATTTTCATGTAATTTTATCTTTTACCATAAAAATTCATTTGCAATTCTCTATATTCTTTAATTAAGTACTATGTTTCACGATTAAAGTCCTTGATAATTAACTTATGTAATCAAACTGAGTTTCGCATTTAATTTGTATTCGTTTAATTATGTTATGATATTATAGTATTATAGTCCAACAGAATATTTCAAACAAAATTAAAAATTGTTTAATCCAAGGAAATTCATGTTTGAAGCAAACTATATTTTCCTTTTATCAAAACCACACATCAATACTTTTACATTGCTGCTTGTGTCAATACTTATATACTGCATATCCTTCCTCTCTGACAAGACTTAAAATTCATTTACCATATCTGTATCCTAACATTCTACACAACCAAAGTCAAGATACAACCACCTTAACCACAAACTGTTATTGTACTTATAAAAGAGAAAATACGTGTTTCGTTAACCTTCTACAAAATAAAATTATTTTACATAACCAATAGTGCATTTCTTGTTCTCTCACCTGTGTCTTATATCTGATGAAGTAAACTTCCGGTTTGCTGGGTTGCGTCGGTGCCTGAGTCGGAAGCACTACTTCGGGCGCCTCTTCCGGTTTCTTCACCAGAACATAAATCAAGGTCTTCTCTTCATCTTGAGGAGGTAATGGCGGAAGTTGAGGAGCGGTAGGCGTCGGTGGCGTCGGCGCCTTTATGAACACGATTTTGTAGTGTTTCTGAGGAGGTGCCGCCGGAGGAATATATTTCGGCGGTTTGTATTCTGGTGCTTCAGGAGGTGGTACGTGGACGTACACGTGTTTGTGGACGACGGGTTGTTGCTGGGGTGGACCATAACGATCCGGAAGCGATGGGGGACCGTAGCTACCGGATCCACTTGAAAGACTAGCACCGCTCGATGGCGGGAAATATGAGCTCACAGGTGGTTCCGGAGCTGGCTTCGAGAACGCCGAGGCTACTAATAGTAGCGTGGTCTGCAACCAAGTTTCAAATTAAGTCATTTATTGATTGTTTGATCAGTTTTGTTGGGCATGTTCACGTTCTAGTTTCACTATTATGCTATCGAATAGGCAGAAAGGTCTTCTAGTCAAACTTGTAAAATAGTGATCATTCATTTTTACAGTGCTCTTTCATTTTTACAATTTAAATTTGACGACGTGAATTTTGATGAGAAATGACGATGTAGTTTTCATGACTTACAATTGGTTAAACTAGCTCAGAAGATATAAAACTAAGGTCCCTTCAATCAAAGACACAAAATAATTGTCATCGATGATTACAACTGTAATTGTTTTCTATAAAAATAAAGCAGGCTACCTCTTACAATTTATAGTTTTATTTTTTTTTTAACTGTTTGCACTTATTCAGTTTTGAAACACTTTTGCAACATGTAAGACAGGATTTTGTATTCGTACAAATTATATTCGTATAAATTGTATGACAGTAGTAATTGTACCAATACAAAGCTTCTTAATCTACCAATATCTTCATTTCACTCAAGAAAGTTTCACACGAAACTTTCCTTAATTTCTTTCTTTCCAAGAAGGATTCGAATGATTCGATCAATCAATAAATGAATAATTAAACGATAAACAGGGTAACAGTGTAAATAATTAAAATGGACGTTCTCAGAGGAATAATAGGTGTAAAAGAGACAACGGTACTAAGCGAGAAAATTTGTGGCAAGGAAAGTTAGATGCCGAAAGTAAAAGTAGAAGGAACTGGTTATTATCGTAGATATAATCGGTGGAAATAATTAGCACGACATCTTAATTACATCGCCTTTGTTTGCACTCGGCTCTGCTTATCGCTGTTTCTATAGAAATGTGAACAAGACCGAAGCAAGCTTTCTGAAGGCCTGAGCTACCGAATTTTTAAGGATTTACATGTTTAATGTTATATAACATCTAATATGTATAATAAATGTTACAACATATATAAATTTCTTAAAAAAATTAGCAATGTCTTTTATGATATCACTATATAAATTTCTTCAAAAATTTAGAAATGAAATAATCTGCTTCCATATATTAATGGATACTATTGTAGATTGTAGTTTATTAAACATCTTCATTATTTATATTTTTTATTTTAACAATGTTTCGTTTTATTTGACGAACCTAACCTCTCTGACCTATTTCTAAATTTGTCGATATCAAATTAATTTTTAGTATTCAATTGTATTAAATAAATATTTAATATATAATATTCTAATATTTTTAAAAAGGCATTCACTAATAAATGAAAACTAGTATTCGCTATAATTCCTGAAAATTACTTTCGAAAACATGTGCAATACCGGAATATCAAGATTTATAACAGTCGTTAACGTCGAATAAGTTAATAACTGGCCTCCTGCGGTTAGTTAATAACTTCGACTTAATTTCTTTTCACATTTATCGTCACATTTAATTACATCAAGAGTAATAATTTATTTTCAAGCTCCCTTCCGCCCTTGAAGAAAAATATCTTCAAATAAAAAATTCAATGTCAATCTTAAAAAGTAAGTAATATTATCATTGAAATTCCTTAAAAGTTAACCGACCATAACAGCTAGAGTAATTCTTTCTCGCTGCTGCTTTCATTTCCATTAATTAAACTATACGCGCCTAGTTCCATCGGTGTGAAGAATAAATTTGAACAGTCGAATTAATTTGAAACAAATTAATTTTGGAAGACGTGGAACAAACTGATTTAATACCTCGTTTTATATTTACATCATTTGTATAACTGAAGCGGAACATTAGTACACATGTTAACGAAGCTTGTTAACCCCTTTACGCCATATAAATTTTAAATTACATGCGAATTTGCATGTCTACATTTTATTTCGTTTCTTTGACTGTATGTATTTTATCGGCGCATTTCTTATTTTTATGTTGGTTAAGAAAGTTTTTAATGCTTTGCATTGTCTTTTGTAAAATTTGTGAAGATGTGAAATTTGTAAAATTTGTGAAGCTGGAAAATTTGTGAAATTTGTGAAGCTAAAAAATTTGTAAAATTTGTGAAGTTGTACAATTTGTAAAATTTGTGAAGCTGACAAATTTGTAAAATTTGTGAAGCTGGAAAATTTGTAAAATTTGTGAAGATGTGAAATTTGTAAAATTTGTGAAGTTGTACAATTTGCAAAATTTGTAAAATTTGTGAAGTTTTAAAATTTGAAAAACTGTAAAATTTGTAAAATTGGTTTTAAAATTCAATTATTGCTCTATACTATCATTATTAACTTCTGTTGTTTCATTTTGTTTCTTCTTCTATTTATTACAATTTCTCCTTTTCCTTTCATTACTCAAATAAATAAAAATTTTATACAACACAATAGCTAAATTCCAACAACATACTTTCCTCCATTTAAAACATAAATTTATCCATTATTCCTAAAAGTTGCGTCCTACGGTTTTGTAAAATGATTATTCTTGAGATCCTCTATGATCCCTCCAAGTTTAAACGAAGTCGGTGTTGCCAAGGTCGTGAAGTCTCCTTCGTATGTAGAAGCTTACACCGAGACAGATGTAATTTCTTCAAAATTCATCGTGCGCTATTACTAGACGAGAACAATTGCGTAAGCGTAACGATTTAACATGGTAGAAAATCGGTTGCGAAACGATCGCGAAGTACACGTTCGTTGCATTTCTAGTACACGCGCAGACATTACTCACGGGCGTACGTGGTCGCGTGCACACGGAATACACGATCAACTTTCTTCGAGAAAACAATTTGGTCACTTTCGAATGACCATCGTTTCGTTTTATTTTATAACCTTTCTACGGTGGACCAGACGATACGTGTAATCTATATACTCTGAAAATTTGTCTAAAGATTTCTGTTAGTTCAATTTTTCTAATGTAAGATGGAGGAGAATGATACTTCAAGAATATATCTTTTCATAATTTTCTACATCTCTTCTACATAATACATCTTTTATTTAATTTTATTAACTGAGTTTGCTGTTTCATTTTTGTTAGAAATGCAAAATATAAATATGTAAAATATGTAAATATGTGAGGACACATATGACTTTATACATGTACATATAAATATATCTGTAAGTTTTTAAATAAATGTGTAATGTGTATGTTTTTTTTTCAAATAAATGTATAGATAGTGCGTTACTATTGTCTTTCAATAAATATTTGACAAATGGTTTTAAGTAAATCTTCAGTTTCTGAACAAAAGTATAAATGTTCGTTCAATTTTCTTAAAAATTCAACAAACACTAGCTATACATATAGATATTTTTTCTTATATGTTATGTACCTTATATATTATTAAGTAAGGTTTGAAAATCTTTGTGTATTTTTTAATTGAATTTCTATTAATTTCAAATGAGTAAAATAAAATTAAAAAGAAAAGATGCTTTTGCTAACTCCATGAAAATTATCCCTGAAGAGATTTGTCAGAAGTAAAGAATAATTTCATTTCCGACAAACTTAATTAATTCTGATGATGTTCAGTTGATTACACTTTCAAGTACTAAATAAAATTATTACCGGATAAGTAAGAACGGATTCATAAAATGAATGACTCAAGTGCAAATTCATGTGTTACCCAAATATGGCTGACACGATCATCGTAAAAGTAACTGTTTTATGTATCCTTTCTTTTTGTATTACATCTCATAAAATGTATACTCAAATACTGCATTAGCATACTCAACAAACAAATACGTAAATTATATATAAACGTAGGTATAATTTTATCAAAAAATTATAACTAAAGTATGAAATACTAGTTTTCGTTCGATACAATGAAAATTTGAAATTTCAATATTAAATGTGTGTGTATTAAATTTCTGTTATTAAATGCGTGGTGTAATTTCACGGTTGCATGGTGAAGATATTAAAATTAAATATTTCTACTGTTAAAGTGAAGCGATATTAAATTCTCTGTAACAAAAATTCTTCTATTTTATTATAATATTCTTGCAGTCTAAATTTAGATAAATGACATACTTCATAATTAATCAAATAGTTGACAATATTTTTAATTCAATATATTTATGATTTGTTGTTGCACTTTTTATAAATGTATGTAACCTAACCTAATCTAAACTATCCATTATATTTATGATTTGTTGTACCTTTTATAAATGTATGTAACCTAACCTAATCTAACCTATCCATTATATTTATGATTTGTTGTTGTACCTTTTATAAATGTATGTAACCTAACCTAATCTAACTTGTCCATTATATTTATGATTTTTTGTTGTATCTTTTAAAAATGTATGTAACCTAACCTAATCTAACCTATCCATTATATTTATAATTTTTTGTTGCACCTTTTAAATCTGTATGTAATCTAATATAACCTAACCTATTCATTATATCAATGATTTTTTATTGTTCCTTTCAAAAATGTTATATGTTCACAATATTCTATTATTTTATTTTAATAAGAGGTATTTGTGTATTCATCCCTTTCAATGTTTAGTATAGAATGTCTTTTTTAGTACAAAATATTTAATTCCTTTTGCAGAAAATATTTACTAAACCTTCTTTTCTTTTGAATTTTTCTTTTCTTTTCCGTTGTCATTTTCGAATATAAAGAATTTTATTTGCAAATAAAATAGACTTGCAAAATGAAATAAACTTGCAAAACAAGTCAAGCAACATAAGGTTAAGGTGAAGGGTTAAAAACTCTTCGTATTCGACACAGTTTTCCCGCGATCTTTCAACATCCTTTCAGCAGATTCAGAGCGTAAAAGAAGTTTTGTCGAGCATCGCGAAAATGGAAATATACGTTACAAAAATGGAAAGCAAACGTACGTGGTGTACGGAAATAACTCGATGTACGTGCAAACGTTATCGTGTCACGAAAACCCGTCGAAGATTTCACGAAAATGCATTCTCGATTGCACGTTGCAACGACATCACGTCGTCAAGAAATTGCCCAAATTTAAGCCAGTACTTTCACTGTATCCACCATCGATCCCTGAATTCCTCGTTTTTTTACGAGAGAAAGTTTCACGCGAACTGATACGTTCGAGTAATTTTGCGGCACAATTACTCGAAATCAATCGTGTCGATGTTACGTACCGGTAGAGGATCATGAACATCGTGCATAATAGCGAGGGTTAATATTATGTTCTTTACTATCGGTTCTTTTGTAACGATTCAAAAATGAAAGGCTTTTGTTGGTTTTTATGACACTCTTTTTACTGATAAAATTACTCTCTTCATTATATTTATACACAGTTTCTTTTTAATAATTTTTCAGTGGTGCAATCAAAATGGAGGAAAAGACGCATGTAGATGTATGTAGACTCTCTAAGGACAAAATTAGGTTCTCTACTTTTATTAAAATGTTCATCAAAATATTTACAAAACATCATTCTAAATGTTGTAACTTCATTTTAGAATAAATGTAATTCTTCAATATTTATGCGACATATTATTCAATTATACGTTTCACTAATATAGAAAATATGAATTCATGATAGTATGATAAATTTACTTAAAAAATTCGTGATAAATTTGTTTAAAAAATAAAACAATATATATACCACAATTTGATGTTTACAAAAGCTATGAAAAATTGCAATAAAACTTCTATTCACAATTATTGTCATTGACTTTTGTATGAACCCCCATTTTGTAATATAATTTATACTTATTGATGCTACATAAATGTTCATACACTTATTGTATACATTTCTAACAGTTATGCATTTCATAATTATTTCTGACAAATAATTTAACAGCACAGTCAATTTAACAGAAAACTTGATTTAAAAACAAAAGTTAATTCAAGAACAGTTACTTTAAGAAATCGTGATGGTGCGTCATGAACCTTCTTCCCTGACGCATTTTATTGCAACCCAAAACAGAAGAGTTGATCAAACAAAAATTATACAAAGTCCACAGTTATTTTTTCGTGTAGTAATTCTTCATACATTAAATGTTTCAATTCTGTTGTGAAGAGATTGTGAATTTCGTTTATGATTCGGTACACACGAGCTTCATCTTCATTTTGTACAACCGTTCGAACTTAATCACCCCCAGAGAAATATTAAACAGTATCTAAAAATTCCGAATTTATGAAATGAAATTATGGAAGAGTATAACACATGGTTTCGCTGTTACACTTTCAGTAAAACATGAGGAAATAAATGAGAGAAACAAAGATGGCGATGGGGAGACTCGTAGAACTCACCAGATAGACCAACATCGTTCAAACTAAACCACTCCCAATAAAATATTAAACATTATCTAAAGATTCCGATTTTATGAAATGAAGTTATAGAAGAGCATAACACATGGTTTCGCTGTTACACTTTTATTAAAACATGAGGAAATAAATGAGAGAAACAAAGATGGCGATGGGGAGACCGTAGAACTCACCAGGTAGACCAACATCGTTCAAACTAAACCACTCCCAATAAAATATTAAACAGTATCTAAAAATTCCGATTTTATGAAGTGAAGTTATAGAAGAGCATAACACATGGTTTCGCTGTTACACTTTTAGTAAAACGTGAGGAGATAAATGAAATGGAAACAAAGATGGCGATGGGGAGACCGTAGAACTCACCAGGTAGACCAACATCGTCGAATTTCGAGTTGACCGAGAGGGTACGAGTCCGAAAAGTAGACGTCGCGAGGAGAACGTCTTTCACCGGCGATCTTTCACAGTTGTGTCGGCTGGATCGACAGATTCGGACTTTTATACGAGCTCGAAGAGGGGAAAAGGAACATCCCCGATCCTCTTCCTTTGCCCGTTCGATCATCGATCGGTCGATCTTCTTTCACGGTGCTACGTAACCCTGATCTTATTACGATCAACGTCCCCGCTTTTCTTCTCGCTCGTTTAGAGAGGATCACACGGGCGAAATTTATGCTCATAATCCGGGAAACTTGACGTTCGCGCGAGATCGATAAGAAACGCGAACAAAGCATCTTCCTTTGATCTCGCTGTTTTAATTAGTTTCGCGTTTGGTTTAGATTTTATCGTACGGATCTCTGATGCTGATCTTTCATCAATCTATAAACTATTTTAGAATCAAGCATTGTGGTCGAGTAATTAAAATATTTTGGTATTTTTGTTGGTATTAATTTTTGGAAAGTTTGAAATTTCTCGAGTTTTAAATTGTCATGTTCTCAGATTTAGGAATGTGTCAATTTTTAGATTTATTAATGTTTCAATTCTGGAAGTTGGAAATTCTTAATTTTCAAAATTATAAATGTTTACATCTTCAAATGTGGAGATTTTTAAATTTTGATATTTTTAACCTCCTAAATTTTGAATTTTTTGATCTGCAAATTGTAAGTTTTGTAAATCTTTTGTTTGTGGAAATTTTAAATTTTCATCCTTGTGAATTTTAATATGAGAATAGATGCTTTAGACAGTAAAAATATTTTTTATTCAGAATATCAAATTTTAAAATAGAAAATAGAAAAAATAATTGCAATAATTAAAATTGAAAATATAATTGTAGTTATTAAACTTGTTAAAATGATTATATACTATTAACCACTGTTACTTCAATAAATAATTATTTATTATTAAATTACTCCTCTTACATCAATAAGTTCGATAATTAACTGTCTCTTGATTATTACCTTTTCATTCATATACATTTTATTTAACAAAAATAAATTCATACTTCAATATTTGACAAATATAGATTAACATATCCTTCTATCACCTTCACCTTGTAACATATTGTCAAGGGCAACCGAGTAACTTTTCCCTATATATAACTGACGATTGTCCTTAGCTTTAAAGATACAAAATTATTTATAAATTGACGCGCATTTGACACGGTGACCTTGAAATATATTGTCAAGGTCAACGTCCTGAACAATTTTTCTTACATATATAACCATCTCTTGGCCTTAGTTTCTACGGTATACGTAAAAAACTTGAGTTAAATTTATGTTACGATGCTTGTGGGTTATTGGGGCGCAAATGCTGCACATATGTATGTATTTCGATATGTCATATTCCTTTTGTATTTGTCTGTTTTATTATTGGTTTATATTTCTTTTGTGAATAATCTTGGTATAGTAGATATCGTGTAATTATACGATGTTTCAGTATATCGCCGTTATAATTTGCATGCTATTATACGTGAACTTATACATGAACTTGCACATGAATTTACAGATGAACTTATTACACATGTATGTAGCAGATACACATGTGATGTACTAGATATTTGTATGGTAGAGTAGATATACATATATATGTACTATATGTATATGCATATGTTAGTAGAATATGTAACACTGAGACAGTTTATAGTGTATTAGTATGTCAGGTTGTAGTATACCATACTCCTTACAAAATAACGGTGATGTAGTGTAACGGTTATAATGTATGTTTGTATAGATTTACGTGTTCACATATGTTTATATATGTTCACGTTCATTTATGTATACTTAAGTATATCTGTATACGTCTACATACGTTTCTGTAAGTTCATGTATGTCTACATACGTCTGTATATCATTACATGCGATTACATACGTCTTCATATGTTTATGTACGTCCACATACGTCCACACACGTCCGCATACGTCCACATACGTCCACATACGTCTACATACGTCTGTATACCATTATATGCGATTGCATACGTCTTCATATGTTTATGTACGTCCACATACGTCCACACACGTCCGCATACGTCTACATACGTCCACATACGTCTACATACGTCTACATACGTCTACATACGTTTACATACTTTCACATATGTCTACATACGTCTACATACGTCTACATACGTCTACATACGTCTACATACGTCTACATACGTCTACATACGTCTACATACGTCTACATACGTCTACATACGTCTACATACGTCTACATACGTCTACATACGTCTACATACGTCTACATACGTCTACATACGTCTACATACGTCTACATACGTCTACATACGTCTACATACGTCTACATACGTCTACATACGTCTACATACGTCTACATACGTCTACATACGTCTACATACGTCTACATACGTCTACATACGTCTACATACGTTTACATACTTTCACATATGTTTAGATAGGTTTACATACATCCACATACGTTTACATACATTCACATACGTTTACATACATTCACATGCGTTTACATATATTTGCATACATTTACATATGTTCACATATACTTGCATACGTTTACATACGTCTTCATATGTTTATGTACGTCCACATACGTCCACATACGTCCGCATACGTCCACATACGTCTACATACGTCTACATACGTTTACATACTTTCACATATGTTTAGATAGGTTTACATACATCCACATACGTTTACATACATTCACATACGTTTACATACATTCACACGCGTTTACATATATTTGCATACGTTTACATATGTTCACATATACTTGCATACGTTTACATATGTTCACATATACTTGCATACGTTTACATACGTTCATGTGCATTCATCTACATGTATATACAACTGAATATTTTTATATGTATTTATACTTATTAATACACGTTTTATATATCAATATAAGTTAATATATAATAGTACATGTTCATATACGTTTGAATATGTTAATATTTGTTCGTACATGTGTGTAAAGGTCCATATGCATTCATACATATATTCATATTTGCTTGAACATGTCTACCTCCATTTATGTTTATCTTCATCAAATATACACTTTTTAATATTTCTTTTATTATATCTTCATCTTAAACATTTAGGATATTTTGAGGTATCACTTCAAGTTACAACATACATTACGCCACCCACGGAGTTACGTTAAGAACATAGTCAAAACTACTACACGATCAACTTCACCGATTGTATCAACTGACGATTAAAGTTAATCGAAATTACTTGTACTGAACCTAACATTCTTGCATAGATTACCTCTTACATTTCCAGATTTTACATCTCGCATATTAGACAACTTTCGTGAACATTCCACAATTCTGCAGTCCACAATTTCAGAAACGAGTAGAAAATTGAATGCAAATCCGAGGGTTAAATAAAGCTATTATAAATACGATCTTTCCGAAAAAAGAAGCGAGAATCCTTTAAAATATGCGTACACGCGTAGATTCTGAAACGATTGCTTCGCGATGGAAATAAATTAGCGTCCCGGTTAAACGTTACAAGACTATCGGAATAAATAATGATCAGTCAGTATAATAATGCGTGTTTCACGCTCGATGCGGCACGTTCGATCGCGAAATTTCGTTATTGGAGGCGAAATTGAAATTCGCGTTAAATCGTTTCGAGCATTCTATAACGAGCGACCTTACAATGGACAGATGATAGACTCCACAGAATTTCTCGTTAAATTAACATTCGTGGTATGTATAAGTGGACATGCATTCAGTTTGTATTCAAATTTTTAGATCCATGAAATTTTTATATTATTATATTTTTATATATATTTGTACAAATGGATATTTCGTAAAATTCTTGTGTCACCAAATTTCAAGATCAGCAAATCTCTTTTGTACTTACATTCTTAGATAGCCAAACACTTATGACTTCAAATTTCTATGAACACCAAAATGTTAGATCAGTAAATATATGTATACGTTCTTATATTCTTAGATATCCAAATTCCCATGACTTCAAATTTCTATGTCGTCAAATTTCTGGATCAGCAAATCTCTATATTCCCATATTCATATGTGCTCAAATACCTACATCTTCAAATTCATATATACCTAAGTATCTATATCTCCAAATTTCTATGTTACTAAATACCTAAATCAGCATTTCTGTACATTCCCATATTACTTTGTATCCAAATCCCTATGACTTCAAATTTCTATGTCATCAAATTTCTGGATCAGCAAATCTCTATATTCCTATATTCATATGTACTCAAATACCTACATCTTCAAATTTATATATACCTAAGTATCTATATCTCCAAATTTCTATGTCATTAAATACCTAAATCAGCATTTCTGTACATTCCCATATTACTTTGTACCCAAATCCCTATGACTTCAAATTTCTATGACATCAAATTTCCAAATCATCAAACCTCTACATTCCCATGTACCCAAGTACCTATATCCTCATATTGCTACATTCTTAAATCACCAAACCCACATACTTCCAAATATTCAAACACCTCTGTCAAACTTTAAGATCTCCAAATTTCTGCCATACTTCCCATACTTCTAAGTATACAAATACCTATGTCACTAAATTATTATCTCCTTATTATTAAAATTCCCAATACTGTCTCACCATATTTAACTACCACGTGTACAATACAATTTTAGTTAAAAATTGTTTATTTAAAATTGAATTCAATCAAATTGTGGATATGTCTCCTCTCAAATGTAAGGAGTTAATATATCTTCAACAAGTTACCATAAAAATTTGAGTAGTAATTCAATGGCCCATATATAGTAAGTCTAACTATGTATAATCATCTGAAACCCTATATAGTAAGTTTAACCGTGCACACTCGTTAATGTCAATCTAAACAAATTCCAAAGCGGAAAGAAAGTTACAAGGATCATCTGATATCGCAACGGATCGAGATTACGAGAAATCCCGATTACGTCCAAGTACTGTTAAGTAAGAGGATGCTTCGGTCTGAAATTCTCGTCGAGATTTCGTGGCACGATCTCGTGGTCCCGTCTTCGTCATCGATTCTCCCGAT